CCTTAGGCTCCCTCCATAAATTATATTCTAGAGCCGCCACTGTGTATAGGGCTAACAAAATCTATAAGATTTTACATGCCTATTATTGTGTTTGAAAAAAGTGGAGGATATGCTTCTTTTTAACCATTTTATTATAAATTCGTAAGTCAATGAGAGCTCTAGTTCGTCGACAATTGTGTTGTATAGGCAAGATATACAGACAGCATACGTTTCCGCTTACGTTTCTTATGAAAAGTTGACTTGGAGTCAACTTTTCATAAGAATCGTTTGCAACGCAACGTATGCGAGTTCATCCAACAAAAAGTCACTAAATCGCGGTTTCCTGTCAAATAGTTGAAAATCGACGTATCACATGAAAATTCAATACGTCGGTTTCCTGTCCAAAACTGTTTTGTGACGATTTTAGTTTACGTTACGTCGATTTCAAAACGCACCAGTCGTAATCGGTTTCCTGTCAAATCGCATTTTCTTACGATAAAACGACGTAATCGTAAGTAAATTTGCCTTCTTACGTCGATAGGAAACCAGGCTTAAGCCACCGTAAACTGTAGTAATTAATTTACATACTTCCACAGGGAACCATGTGTTCCATAGCTCAATTATCAGGATATGTAAAACCTTAGAATTTATGCATAGGACAAGTCTGACATGTAATTATGTTAAGGTTATGTTTGATATTGTATTTTCCAGTTGTTTTCTGACATTAGGACGAATGTATGTGAGTGTTGCTATCCCAGTTATCATCACTTTGCTGTTCAACGTGACAATGTTTATTTTTGTGATGCACAGCTTGTGCCAACGTGGAAAATTTACCAACCGACAACGCAAGAAAAATGAGGGCATCAGGATGCTGCAGAATGGCATCAGTATCAATCTGGTGATGGGCTTGACTTGGGTGTTTGGATTCTTTGCTATCAGAGATGCAACCCAAGTTGTCAACATTTTATTCTGTGTCTTTAACACCCTTCAAGGATTCCTCATATTCATGATGTACTGCGTGAGAAATAAGGAAGTCCGCAACTACTGGAAACAGATTTTCATTACCGTAACTGGTACTGGAACGAATGAACCACTGCTGTCTTCACCACATGGCTTAGAACACGGCAGTGGCCGTTCAGGTGACCAGACGACGGAGTAAAACGTTTGGCTGTGCAAGTTATACGAGCAAGGGAATATAATGATTTTTAGCATGCATATATAATTCTTTTAAAAGGGTAAATGGTTTGTTCTGGTATTCAATACAGTATATAGATATATATGTCCAGTATAAAAATTTTTTAATGATAAGCTTTATTAGTTTATATTACATGAGAGATTTAATTTCAACTATAAAACAGGTGAACAGGTGTATAACTTAATAAGGTAACATTCTAAAGTAGGGATGACCAGAAGGAGCTTAGCTCATTTAGACCATGGGCACCTTATGCAATGGGTAGCCTGAATTTTGGTTACAGTGAATTCTGTGAAATATAATTATTTTATTGCACTAAGGGGCCCTACCATATTTCATTGGCGTCCCATACTTTTACTTCTGTGATTTTTCCAAAGCGATAACACATCTGTATAATTAAATGGTTTACCATTTTGGCTTTTTTTTCTTTTTTAGTTTAGTGCAATTAATATAATCATTTAATTAAATTACATTAGTTACGTAGAGTTAACCAAGTCAAATATTTTAAAAAAAAAAGGTGTTTAAGTAGCCTATAGTAGGCCTAGCTATGTCTAATACTTTGATGTTCAGAAATTTTACTCAATACTCAATAAACTTTATTTGTCATATATACATGTACAATACACATACAATAAAATTTGATTTGGTTCTTTAACAAAACAAACATAAAATACGAAAATTTCAAACTAGTGACTTGTTCAATGCCCTAGCCCTGATGGCGGAGGGATAGAAACTACGTAGAGATATACCCCTCCCGGTCACTAGTGATTGATATCGGCGACCACTCCGCATCAAAGTGAACAAATGGTTGGCCTGGGGTTATTTCTGTCCCCAGCCAATGCCTTTTAAACATACGGTCATGATTGATTACATCTACCAAAGGAAGTATATACAAACAGAATGTAATGAAATTGGTTTTATATGGTTAACAGCAACAAGATATTTTTTAGTTTTTCTCGTAATTATTTTAGAATTAAGTTGAATTTTTTCGACTTCATGTGTCACCATGGCTACAACATTATTACAATTTTTATGTTTTTTCGTTTTAGATTCTTGAGAAACCTAAGAAAAGTTATTCAAACATTTAAATGGGTTTTTGTAAAACTCATGACTTGCCTGTATATTTTTCATTTATAAATGTCAATGTATTGGTAAAATGATGGTGGAAAAATATTTAATCATATTTGATTCGCTCGCACAGTTTGTCCATTGAACTGGGGCTTCCGGGTTTTTTTATATACCAGATATCTCGACTTTCTTGCAAGACAAAACCACCAATTATGGATTTTCTTTGCCCCAATAAATTGTGGAATGAAAATCAGGAAGCTACATTATATTATCTTGAAGTATTATTTTAATGTTTGGTAATATTCGGCTGGTTTTACGTTCACTTATTATTATTTGAATAGTTATAGAATAAAATATATTATGTATAATAAAACATGGGTGTATAATTATTATAACTGTATTGTTATTAGTTGTAGCATTATTTTTTTTTCTTCTGATGTAAGTTTTGCTTTACCCTTCTTTTTGCGTCTACTCAGTGGCGTAACATGTGAGGCTGTCTCTTATACACATCTAGATTTAACGCGATGCATCAAATACCTGTCTCTTATACACATCTAGATGTGTATAAGAGACAGGGGCTGGAGAAAAGAAAGGGGGGAGAGGGAGGGAAAGAGAAAGAAGAGGAAGAGAAAAGGAAAAGAAAAAGAGGAGAGAAAAATAAAGACAAGAATAAAAAGGAAGATATCATAATGAAAAAATAAAGACAAGAATAAAAAGGAAGATATCATAATGACCAGACTCACAACACCCTGCAACCTCTTCTCCACTTAACTCCTTTGATCTAAGCTGCCAGATGGCGTAGGCTAACCACCGGGGAACAACGGGAAAATATCTATCTTTGGAAAATCTTTCCCACCCCTTTATAAATGCCCTTTCATCCCCTGAAAGTGCCTAAAAATCTCAAATTTTGCGCGCCTCGCGCGCATTTCTTGTCAGAGTAGGGCAATTTCTTTTAAAAATTGCACATTTTAGGGATTTTGGATCAATTCCGACGAAATTAGAATTAAAAACACCGGGAGACAAAGAGAAAATATCCATCTTAACACCCCTTGATAAATGCCGTTTTCATCCTCTGAAAGTGCCTAAAATCCCTAAATTTCGCACGCTTCGCGCGCATTACTTGTTACAGTAGCCCAATTTCCTCTATAAATTGCACATTTTAGGGAGTTTTTATCAATTCCGACGAAATTTGAATTAAAAACACAAAAACTTTTTGCGCGCTTCGCGCCCTATTTAATAGGTTTTTTTTAAATTTTTTTTAAAGGGTTAACTTTTTAAGTTATTTAAACACATAATAGTCCCAAACTCAAGAAAGAAAAATTTAAGGTAGATCGTTTTAACCTAAAAGAAGGGCCTCAATGTGTATTGATGGTGAAAGAATATGTTTGTAATAAATAAAACCATGATGAAAATGCTTATATTTAGTTTCAAACACACGTGTGTGGCCCATATATTATAAATAAGATAAGCCCTATGTCGTATTGTTTTCTATATGGAGAGGGGGGTGGGGTGGGTATGATAAATTACTAACCGGAAAAATTATTACCTTTGCCAACACAGACGGGCAAAGTGTGGCTAGACAGCGATTTTTTTTTTATTGCGGACCGCGAAAATAATTAAAAGCCCCATGTGTGTGGCCCACCCAAGCACATTGGCTAGAAAACACATTGCTTCTTACGGGCCCGACACCGATTTTATGCCCACTCCTGTAATAATAATAAATAATAGTAAATTGCTATTTATATAGAGCATATTGCAAGAAACTGCCCCTGGCGCTTAACAACTAAAAAATAATACGGTAATAATACCGTACACAAATTATTTTATAATAGAAGAGAGCAACTGCATATCTATATAGGCCTGCTTATACTTGTCATTGATATACATCACTTAATAAGTTCAATTCATTAAAGAAATACATTCATTAATTATGGTTGAATTAATTGAATATTGACCTATGAAATAGCATGAAATAATTGCAAATTAAAAGTTTAACATTCCGAGCCACACAATGTACACCATACATAGCCTCCTGTGTCTGTACAATCAGCAGGGCCTGATATGTCATGAAATCGGAAGTCTGCCCTCTTTTGTTGCCCGATTTTGTGTGCTGAATCTATGAAGGTAGGCAGCACTGAATTGTGTTCACACAGACGCAAAAAGGGACGCTTAACATCGTTTTATCGTGTGAATCGTGGTTATATAAAGTTAGGCTAATAGGACGTGCCCTAATATACAAAGTAAGCAATTCAATTTGTTTTTGCTACCAAAAAAAAAAAAAAAAAAAAATAGCTAACCACTATCAAAAGAATACACATACACGATAACATGGATCAATGATTTGGGCATGAGCATTTAGGGACTGACTGCATGTTGCACATTTTGATACTCTTTGTTCGTATACCACATTTTTCTTTTGACAATTTTCAGCTATTTTGCTTTCTTACCGTGGTATGCATTTTATCTTAAAAATGTATTTTTCATATTTGTTTTGTATTTGTGAAAAGAGTAATAAATAAATATTATTTTTTAACGCGATGCATCAAATACCGCTTGCAAAAATGATAACGAATACTATTATTGTTGGTTGATCTTGTCGAACGAACAGCAGTATAAAAGCGAATTCTGGTGGCTCGAAATGTTTAAGTCTGAAAATTCTAGGCCTAAACATCGATTGTTTCATCGTTTGATTGATTGGTTTTGTTAGCCGCCTACGGATAATTCGAAAATTTGTCAATGTCAAAAACTTGTTTATGCCTATTTGTTTTCACTATCAATGATAAATTTGCTATGAGTGTAACTCGACTAAATCGAAGTCGAATAAAACCAAACTCGATCATAATTTACATACCAAATAGTCCTCCCGTAACAGGGAGAAATAAATAAATAAATAAATGAGTAGTTGCATATGTATTCTTTTTTCAATTAATCGATAATCTCCAAAGAATTTTGATTCCTAGATGGCGGGAAATGAGCTTTTCCGACTTTTGAGGTGCCTTAATTATTTTTAAGTTAGACTTTCGAGCTAGGTGTTGACTTTGTTCTTCAAAATCAAAGGTTTTCCCCTCTTGAAAATGGTCAGGTAATTTTTCCCATTGTTATTACAGTAAATAGGCCCTATGTGTGTATACATACATAAAAAAAAAAATGAGTAGTTGCATACGAATTTTTTTCCATGAATCGATAAATCCCAAAAAGAAAGGGGGGTCGGGGGGTTCTCCACCTGGAAAATTTTGATTCCTAGAAGACGGGAAATGAGCTTTCCCGACCTCTGAGCTGTCTTTTAATTACCTGTAAGTTCTTCGAAATTTAAGGTTTTCCCCTCTTGAAAATTATCATATTGAATCAATGAACCCAAAGAGAAAAGGGAGGTTCGGGTTTTCCCTGGGGAAATGTTGATTTCTAAATGGTGGGAAATGAGCTTTCCCGACTTCTGAACTACGGTACGGTATCTTTTAATGACTTTAATTTAAGTTCTTCAAAATTTAAGGATTTCCACTCTTGAAAACGGTCAGGTAATTTTTTTCCCATTTTTATTACAGTAAATAGGCCTTATGTGTGTATACATACATAAAAAAGATTGGGTAGTTGCATACGTATTTTTCCATGAATCCATAAATCCCAAAAAGAATGGGGGACCTGGGGTTTCTCCCCGGGAAAATTTTGACTCCTGGAAGGCGGGAAATGAGGTTTCCTGACTTCTGAGTTGTCTTTTAATGACTTTAAAGTTCTTCAAAATTCAAGGTTTTCCCCTCTTGAAAACGATTCCATGAATCAATGAACCCCCCAAAATAAGGGGGATTCTAGTTCTCCCAGGAAAAAATGTTGATTTAAAATGGCGGGAATGAGAAAATCCTTACTTCTGAAGTGCCTTTTAATGACTTTGAAGTTCTCAAAATTCAAGGTTTCCGCTCTTGAAAACGGTCAGGTAAATTTTCTCATTCGTATTACAGTAAATATGCCTTATGTGCGTATACATACATAAAAAATTGAGTAATTGCATACGTAGTCTTTTGACAGGAATCGATAAATCCCAAAAAGAAAGGGGGTCCGGGAAAATTTTGATTCCTAAATGGCGGGAAATGAGCTTTCCCGACTTAGTCTGAGGTGCCTTTTAATGACTTTTAAGTTCTTCAAAATTCAAGGTTTTTCCCCTCATGAAAATGATTCAATGAATCAATGAACCCCCCAAAAAAAGGGGGTCCTGGTTACCCTGGGAAAATTTCGATTTCTAGATGGCGGGAAATGAGCTTTCCTGACTTCTGAAATGTCTTAAATGACTTTTTAAGTTCTTCAGAATTCAAGGTCTTCCCCTCTTGAAAACGAACAGGCAAGTTTTTATCGTTTTTTATTTTATGTGTGTATACATACATAAACAAATGAGTAGTTGCATGCGTATTCTTTTTTCCATGAATCGATAAATCCCCCCCTCCCCAAAAAAAGGGTGGTCCGGGGTTCTTCCCCGGGAAAATTTTGATTCCTAGATGGCGGGAAATGAGCTTTTCCGTCATTTGAAGTGTTTTAATGACTTTCATGTTCTTTAAAATTATAATTTTCTTATTGTAACAAAAAAAATCAGCTTACGGGTCCTGAAAAGGTAGGTCTAGAAATCTTCTTTTTTTCCCCATTTTTTTTTTGTTGGCCAAGGGAGGAGTCAGGACCCATGATCCCCCTCCCCCAGATCCGCCAATGTGAATTACGAAATTGCGAGAAAATGTAACTCGGTCGGGGACTGGATAAACATTCCCTTTCCCATCTTCTCCTTCTTTCCTCTTACTTCATTTCTTTCCGATCATACAAAAATCTCCAGACATATATTTTTTACCAAAAAGTGCCCCCAGACAGCCCCCCCCTATTCCGCCGGCCATGCGTAACATTGATAAGTACTTATCAATGTTACGGAGGCCTACTTGATAGTTTGGTCTACTGATTTTCTATATTCAAATAGGTTCTTATTCTCATATTGAATTATTATTCTCATTAGCATGGTTCACGTCGAACTTTTATCTAGATATACATCCACTTAACTAGTTAAAAGTTCGACGTGAACCACTCAATTATAGCTAGATAAAGGAATTAAGTCACTTAAGTTAAGTTACTTAACTTTACTAGAATAACGGTAAATTAACTATGGAGTGTCAATCAAACTTAACAACTGACCAATCAGAACAGGCTAGGAATACGCACGCGTTTCACAAACACACGTGCTGTCCCACAAACGCACGTGTTTGCATATGTTTTTTACAAACTGTCGTAGTGGGACCTTAGCGACAATATCTAAGGGGCGGGGCTTAGTCGAAAGTTCCATTCTGCAACGACTTCAAGATCGGCACCAATGTGTCCGTTAATTCAATTGGCCAGCGTCAGTCTAATAGACTATGCAATAAATATTACACACATTGCTGTTTTACGAGAAGGTATTGGCATAAATTAGATAGACATTAATTATTGTCCGTTAATTAGAAAATAATCTTTTCATCATTTTAATGTAGGCCTATTTGAATTATATGAAATTGTTTTTTCTTAATCCAATTGATGGAGTGAGAATTATAGAATATTTAAGCCAACGATGAAGAGTATTCAGGTTGGGGTAGACATACGACGATGGAGGTCGCGTTACACGACGAACATGTCTCACCCCTCTCCCTCGCCCTCCAATTCGGAAAAGGTTCACATCTAAAACAGCCGAGAATGTACTACTATAAATATAAAATTGGTTAATTTTCTAAAATTAAAAAAGGAGTCTTTTTGTAGGAAATAACAGATGTTATGCCATATTCAGATATTCACGACTGCCTAAAACTTTACCGGATATAAAATTGCTCGTAATAAAGATTAAAAGCGAATTTTAAATCTCACGCTATCCTCCACGCCACCTCTCAGCTTCCCCTTGGCCAAGGCGGATTTACTGGGGAGCGGGTAGACCCCGCCCCCTCCCCTCTTGCAAAGTCAAAATAAAAGAAGAAAAAAAAGAGAAATAAAGAAAAAGAAATTGTACAAAACGCCTTAGAGGTTATTTTCGGGTGTCTGGAAAACAAAAATTTCGCGGACCCCATAGGCTATAGTTATATCTCGATCGGCCCCACCTTGCCCCCCCCCCCCCTCCACTTTGGGACATCTCTGGATCCGCCCCTACTCTTGGTTGGCTAAATCTTTTTAATTAAGATCTTTTGAAGCTAGGATGAATACTATCAGTATCATTATAGACTACTGCCATCAACGACGTAAACTTATTGGCCATGGAACGGATTATTATATACAGTGCATAGATAAGTCACTGCTCAGGCTCTGTTTCTGTTTTTTGACTGGATGGTGATAATCAGCATCAACAGTTTCACTTGGTTCCAAAAACTGTTTGCAAATGAAATAACAGACGTATATCCGATAACATAGGGCTAAATTGTCTTTACACAAGATCCAAAATAATTTTATTGTGATTATGCATACAAAGATACAGATATAAATTACGTCACTACGAATGTCACCATAAGGCCAAAAAAAAAAGGGGGGGGGGGAAAAAAAAAAGGGGGGGGGGGGAATTGTGTTGGCCACGTTTTGAGAAAATCCAAAAAATGGGTAGGTCGGTAGAAAACTTTTTTTTCTTTTTTTTTACAACCAAATATGTGTTTATGCCTAAAAAGTAGAAAATACACAAATAATATACGGTAACAACTTTGGATTCGCATTGCATACAATCTAGCAAAATAGGCTAGTCTTGGCCCCCCTAAACTCGCCAAGGCTATTCCAGCCTTATTTGCTCATAAAAAAAATATTGTTTGTTGTCCAAAAAACAAAAACAAAAACAAAAAAAATTGCCGACCCTTAATTTTATAAAATTTGGGTCGGTCGGGCGTGGCCAACCCAATAATTTTTTTTGGCCTATTGTTACCAGATGCAACATTAAAGTGCAAATACCAACAATCCAGTGAGAGACGTGTGGAAACTGAACGAAATATAAAATCAAGATAGAAGAGAAACAAATAATTGCAATGGTGGCGCCAGTTCATTGACTGGGACTGGGAAGGGAGCTCCGATAGTCGTCACGGGATAAGATAAATTCCTTTAATTTTTAGAGATTATGATATCGAATATCGATTTAGCCTAAGCCTTCAAATATCTTATTCTTAATTTTAAATTCCTAGTGCTTCCATCGGCGGGCTTCGGGGAAACCCCCGTGGGGTCGGGTCCGGGTTATTGGTTCCGTCCACTACGGTACTCTTCCCTCGGGGGAATTCCCTACAGTTGGGGACATCGCCCACTGGCGCCACCACTGTTTAAATGTAGTCAACACACTTTTTAAATTAAAATTTATATAAAAATGTATATAGCCTAGGTTCAAGTAATGGTCGAAATAAAATGCTTCATTCCACATTTCCACAGTTGATAAACTATTTGGATTATAGGAGTGTTTGTGTAATACTCCTGACATGTTTGTGTAATACTCCTGACATACGCCACTACAAATAACAGGCACTACTACATCAGTAATCATATAACAATAATGATAATTTGTTACTTTTTATAAACTCATTGTGGTTTTTGTCTCTATTGTGTGAGGATCTGTGTTACTCTCACACTACATTTGCAATTTTTATACCGCCTTGATTTGTGCACCTTTTACTAAAATTAGAGAATAGTGCAGCATACAGATGAATACTGTATACAGATACGACGGTATTAAGAATTGTATTGTTGCAACAGGCCTATTGCTGCTATTTTGCTGAAGTTTAATACAGAGCAATGCACATCCTTCCTTACTGTTTTTTCCCAGGGGCATTGGAGCGTAGCATTTCTCATGTGACGTCACATATTTGAAATATACACACATAAGATGGCGGAATAGACAACTCAACTAAATGAGTCAAAACATAGGGTTTACAAGCAATATTTAGGAATTTTACGATTACTGTTTTATTTCGTTTCAATCTGTATCTCAGGTATGTATGAATATAGCGGTCTTTGGCGTGTGCCATTGGGATTAATAGCGTGTAGTTCAAATGTTTATCTTGGAATAACAGCATCACTCACACCAGCTAGGCGATGTGGCAGCCCCTCGATCGACTCCATTCCTTTTTATGGCCTCTGCTGTAACCGCGCTTTTTTCCGACACACGGTCATGCTCCCTCCCGTGTGTGTAGAACGCCTAGTTAGTAATGTAAAGCCATTGATCTAGGTTCCTTGGTATTTCAGTAACTATTGAATACGTTATATCTTTATAATGACATATTCTATCCTATTATTATTTAATAATATTGAAAATAGGTCCACCAAGCAGAGTTCTCATTGATTTTGGAAGGTCCAGTCAGCCCAAAACGCTAGCCTCCAACATATGCCCTAGGGCCTAACCCCGCTCGACCAGCCTAGGCCTTGCCGTCCTGGTTCGGTATGTAGTAGGCGAGGGCCAGGCCTTGCTAGGCAGAATCGAAGTTGAAGATACCATGTGATTTGAAGACAAGCATCATAATATCTACTCAAAATTAAATGTTCATTTTATTATAATTACAATTGAAATAGCCTAGGCTAGGCCTAGCTACTACTGCTATATCGTAGACTTTGGCCTAGTACTGAACAAGCTTCCAAATAAAGTTACAAACAATACAATTAATTACAAATAGCCTATTCTGTAGTACTGTACAATGTCATTGAAACCCTTTCTCAACCTAGCCTAGGCCTTCCTCTAGGTACAGGCCTACTGTCCAAGACTAACCTACAGTAAGCCTAACTATGAAAGGAGGTAGGCCTAGGGCCTAGCCTTCATCTGGGCTAGGTAGGTCTGGCATGTACCTGAAGGCATATTGGTAGTGGTACTACAGTACCTAGGGGCGGAGGTCTATTTTGATGAACTTTGCTACATACTCCGTCCAATTATGCAGTTATAAATACTGTTATATTTCCATGCAGAAAGAAAAATATTTGCAGTACCATATTTTAATATCATACACATTAAAAAAGAATATTGTTTTTCTGTATTTGTTGACACATCAAATATTTTAATCAACAATGTTATAAAATAAGGAATTTACAAGAGTAGCAAATATATTTTTTTAATATTGCATAAAATAATTAATTATGTTTATTATGATAGTTTAACAATAAATTACTTTTGGCTTCGAAACATAATCACGTCCAAACATAATTAACCACTGCATAAAATATGTTTAATTCTGTAGTTCAATCACTTTTGTGATTACAAAACTGTAGATCCACCAGCTGCTACAATCAACCATCATCACATCTTTGATCAGATCTTCTGTTCTGAAATTAAATTAGAACAAAAAATACCATTCTCTATACAGTGTCAATAAAATACAGTTTTAATCAACAAATTAGACTGACATTCAAATTAATCTGTTGTGAATAATAATGTAGTTTGTCAAAAAGGGCTGTCTTCAATGCAATGATTTTTTTTTTTGGGGGGGGGGGAGGGGAGGGGGATGACAGTGTGCATGTATACAGTATTGTTGGCTCTGACAATAGAGTGATATTACAATGACAGTAGTCAGCAAAGTCTGCTTATACCACCAAGGCAGTCTAGTAGTACCATGTTTACAACATATGCTACATCATATGCACAACTACTGTATGTCTTCAAGTACAATGCATTCTAGTCTAAATATATGTCTTTAATTAATATTTGTCAATCATTATTATTTATTTATTTAAAATACAGTATTTATACATAGATGACATACTGTAATAAACATGTTTTTTTCCAGGTAAATACAGTAAATTAAATCAAAATTTCTTCTACTACCCTACTGTACCTGTATATGGAATAATTAACCATGTTTACAGTACAGGGATAGGTCCTATCATTTAAACACAATCAAATCATATCAAGAAAACATATCAAGAAAATGCTGAGTCTTATATACATGACATCTATTTAAAAAAGAAATCTCATGTACTGTAGATTTTGTCGATCATTATTATTTAGGATATTCATACATAGATGACATACTATAATAAACATGTTTTTTTCCAGGTAAATACAGTAAATTAAATCAAAATTTCTTCTACTACTCTACTGTACCTGTATATGGAATAATTAACTATGTTTACAGTACAGGGATACTGTAGGTCTTATTATTTAAACACAATCAAATCATATCAAGAAAACATATCAAGAAAATGCTGAGTCTTATAGACATGACATCCATTAAAATAAAAAAAAATCTCATGTACTGTAGATTTTAAAAAAAAGGTTGGTGTGGTTGTGGTGATTACTGTAGCAGGTAATATTTTGTTTTTGTTCTAACATAAAATAGCTAGTGAACAAATTAATAAACAGAGCAAAATTATTTTCTTGTAATCCCCAAAAACACAATTTTTCTTGAATGTGTTTCACACTTTTCCAGGTACTGTACAGTATTTATTTTCATGAATAGAATGGCCCTGGATAGAATGAACACAGATAGTTAATTCAAAATCAAACAGAGCGTGAGTGTCAGAAATCATAAAGCATTTGGCAAATTGTCCTTTCAAGGCTGTTACTGTATCTTCCAAAGCAATGCTTTTTGACTCTACTGATTCATGGGTGTTGTGCCCATGCCCAATTAGTTTTCAAAACAATTAACAATTTGTAACAACTTGTTTACTGTAGGTAAAAATTACAGCTATTCTCAGTTAACAACAAAAGCCATTCATTACTAGTACACAGACAGCAGATGAGCTTTGTATGAAGTACTGTATAATCTGGCTTTCAAATGTAAGTTATAAAGTAATTTCTGTATATTGGCTGGTCTCATTACAAGTTCACTTATATTCAATCATAGGGCCTATTTAAAAAGAAATAATGAAAATCCACATCTCACTCATTTTCTCACACATGTCTAATAATTTTTTTTGACATTTAATGTATCTTGTTTGTTGGAAAAAAGGATGAGACTACATTTTTTTTTAAATGCAGTCACCATACACAAACCCACTACTAATACTGTACATATCCAGTACTACTATACTGTATCTATAATGATGCATGTTTGGTTTTCTGCTGGGAAGGAAAGTGGTATTAAATATTGATAGATATAGAAATAGGACTTTTTTTGCCTAAAAATAAATATTTAGTTAATAACAATTCTTAATTTGTAAAATTCTTAATGAATAAAAGTAGGAATTTAAAATGTTAACAAATTAGCAGAATTTATGCTTGCATGTAATATACCATACTGTTGTTTATGGTAGGACTGGTTTCTAAATTAATTTTAAATATTGGCAATTTATTATGGATTCTATCTTCAAATTCTACTGAAATTTATATGGTCAGTATTCAGAGGTGAATGTTAACTAATTTTGATACCGATTCTGAAAAATGAACTAAGTTGTTCAAAAAAGTATTATTGTAATAAGTAGCATTGAAAAAATAATTTTAACAAACTGGTGTAAAAAATAGGCCAATTCTTTAAACTTTGAACTAACAATACATAAAACTAGCTATAAAATTGAGGTTAATGATTGATAAATCGGCCATCAGTTCATATCAGTAGGCCAGTTTATTATTACAGTGAAGGGTAACTATAACAATGTTTACATACAATATCAGAACTAATTTGATATACTGTATAACCCAATTCAGGAATGTAACTATTATTATTAAGTCAGGTTTTTTGCTTAGCAAAATGATTCATTTATGCATTTATTATTATATTATACATGTAACTCATACTGTTACAATCCTTGGTGGAATTTGAAGAGAAACATTGAAACTTCCAATTAAATTCTTCCACCATTAATAATAATGGCATACTTCTGTGATGTTATAATTGCTGAGCCCATATTATTTACTTTGATTGTTGATACTGTCACTGAAATCAAATTATGGAACAGATATGTTTACATACGATAATGCTGTTTGCATTTGACTTTACAACCAGCATTTCCTATTAAAAACCAGTCAAACCTTCATTTTACATATAGCCTTCATAATGAAAGATTTTCAAATAAATCTAAATTTAAGGTCAATTTAAGGTCATACCATAAAATTCTATTTTGTGTCCAAATAGACTGAATATTCTGTTATGAGCTGATTGAATTTAAGTCAATAAAAATTCAATGTTACATTACGAAGACTTTATTTAAAATGTATTATAATGTTATATTTTACTATCAGTGATTTCAAGTGATGTCTACATATGAGCATGTGTAGGCCATACAGCCAGTTATATTTTGTTTAGGAATGCATAATGATCTATAGCCTGCAGGCCGATGCTACTCTTTGTTTAATTAAACTAAGATCAATTTTTATGACAATGTACAGTATGGTTATTGATATGCAGCCAAATGTCTTTGATTTGAAGGACTGTTAAAACCTGAACTAAACACTAGCTTATGTTAAACTAAAGCTCAATGTACGACACCCATTTGTGCATTCAGAGAACAGACTCAAATTTTTCTAGGCCTGTTTGCGACAGCGAAAAAGTTTGGATTTACAGGTATTGACCACAAAATGGTGATTAGTCTCTAATTTGTAAAAAAGTGAGGGAACAGGCAGGTATTTAAACCAAACACAGAGCCTGGCTGGTGGTACAGTATATAGTTTGTAACTTGGGGTGTCCCAAAATGCACTATGAGTGCAATTCCATGTCGTGAAAGTGAGCTACTGAAAGGGGTCTTTGAACTTTACCTACTGTGTGGTAGTCCAGTGGTGTACGGCTTATTTTTAGTATTTAATTCATTATTTACAATATATTCAATACATTACTAACTACTATACTTAATTTACTTTTAAAATAAGGAATAATTCTTTGGTGAAAGGACAAAAACAAAAGATGACAACATTATCAACCTGCAATCAATTGCATTTTTAGTTTTAGTCATGAATGTTCTTTTTATTAGCTCTTTGTTACTGTAGTTTAAATTTTAATGAGTTGGCATTAGTTTAATTTCAATGTTGAAATTTTTATTTTATTGCTTGTTACTCATTTCCTTTTCGTAATTCCATTTTTTTTTTTTTTTACTTGATTGTATTTTTGGAAACAACTTTGGAAATTGTTAACTGTATAACACAGGTGGGCAAAATGCGGGAAAATGAATTAAAAACCCTATGTGTGCGGCCCGCCAAGCAACATTGGCCAGAAAACACCTTGTTTTTTAAGGCCCGACACAATCGTACAGAATGTAAAAAGTAAAGTGGTGTAAAAGCAGTGCTTGGAGGTTTTGGAAGGTCACTGGAAACATCAAAATTTTGGTGCGGCCCTCGGTCTTTAATCAAAAATTCACTTTGGCCCTCCGACTGATTTTCATGCACACCCCTGCTGTATAATAATACAGTTCAGATGAAAAAGTATAAAAGGTTAATAAACTATTATAACTAATTAATAATCATGGCAAATTAAGAATATTGAGAAAAACTGGGTTAGTTTTATCAGTGTTTACCCTTTATAAATTATTTATTGTGTTATGTTTGAAAGGTGTCATAAGTTATTGATTGTTATAGCAATTTGATGATTCAGCATTGATAACGAGGGGATTTAAAGTACAGTGTATGTCAATAAAGTTGGGCAATAAAAATACAAAACATTGTGTTTTCCCTATGTATGTACCTGTACTGCAAACCTATGTGATTTACACTAAGAATGATGTGATAAAAAGCTACTTTATCACTCATGGAAAACTGTGACGAGAAAGAGATTAATGTTTATTTCAAAACAAAAGTTTAATGACAAAAAGGATTGACGTTTTGTTCCATCATGATACCATAAGATCAAAAAACCTACAGAAACACCAAAGAGATGACAGGAAGTAATTAATTAACATCAATAGGGGCCTACAACATAACTGTGTAGAGCTGAACAATACTTAGCATCTCTTAATAGCAAATTTACTAGAAACAATTTGGCTTTGACCATACTTAACTTTCAGTTCATTGATCCAAAGTATTTCTTTATGGAAGTAATCAAACTTGGATTTGAACTTTATAAATTCTTGAAATATTAACAGTTTCAATAGTACTAATATCATGATGTTTAAGTGTTATCCTATGTTATCTTTTACTGTGCTCATCAATATGTTTTTTTTCACTCAAATAAATTAAATGACCAGCATTGGATTAAACGTTTTGTTTTTTACAGTATGATTTAAAAAAAATAATAATATTTTGCTCCTTCTATTACTCAATTGTGTATATTTTTTTTTTCAAAGATTTTGGATGTCACAGATAACTAATGATGGCATTTGACTTCTATGATAAAAATTTAATATATTTTGTTAGTAGGCTTACCTCCCTACCTCCTAATTTTTTCTGCTCATTAGTTTTGTGTGAAATGTAATCTAAAGTTAGGCACTCACTGCGTCGTACAGTACGACAAGTCCAACTCTGCGCCCGTGAACACTAGACAAAGCGACACCGTCTCGTCATTGTCGGTGGCAGCCTGAACAGATTGTTGTTAAAAACGATCAGTTCCGCGCACATTGTGAACATTCCCTCCAAATATTTTATCCCATCATGCAAAATTATGGATAAAAGTGCAATGTGTTCAACATCACAGCCTCTGTTTTGTTGACCTAACAGGTGACCCTTTTTTTGCACAAGATGGAAAAGCCTTGGCTAAGAACGAAATCGGTAATATTTCACTCTGGGAAATGTAGGCCTACTGTCATCACAATGATATTTCATTGGACTTCTATCTATAGGGACTGAGAAGAAGATGAAAAAAAATGCTGCATATAGTAGCTCTGTTTGTTCTGCTTTACGGTACATTTAATGATAGGTAGGGATAGACCTAGGCCTAGCCAGACACCGTCAACATCAAGCGCAGCCGTTTCAGGCTTCTTAAATACGAAAAAAATTTACTCACTTATTATTTAAAATACTAGGCCTTGACTACTATAGTAGTTGCCTTAGAAACAACTACCCAAAAGAATTCTTTGCACCAGTATTTGACATTGGTATTGGAGCTTTTTTTCTAATAAATTAGCTGATTTTCGTCCGAAAATTGATTGGAAACTTTGGGCCCCGCAGTGAAAAGTGACAAAATGGCTGCTTTCCGATAATTTATTTGGTAATAAGTGCTGCGGAAACACGGCCAAAATAGAAGGTAAATGGGTAACACCAGACCGAAGTGCATTGTTAAGGTATCAAACTCATTAATTAATTCTTGAATAAGTGGCCTTTTTACACAACATGGTCTCACCTCCCCTAGTAAAAAATAGTTAATATTTTTATATTTTAAACTGATCAGAGATTTTTACATTTTTTTTATCAGTCAGGCTTGCCCTAATACTAATAATGCTGTAAATAATAACGTATAAAAAAGTAACAATATCACTTTGGTATATTTTTTTTATCTTCACAGAAAAATGACTTTGAAACCCTAAACTGCTGATAATCGTGATTCTTACAGCAAGGTTGCGATGGGAGAATTGACATTAGACGATATCGTGGCTAAGGTTCTAAAATCAGATACGCAACTGCGGATCCAGGCTAGCCAAGAGCTTCAGGATTACTTATCAGTGAGAACGAACCCAGTAAAATGTGACAACATTGATAGGCTCATCGATGGCCTTGTGTCGTGGGTCAGTAGCAGTAATTTTAAGGTAAGGTTTATTAAAAATTTAAATTTAAAACAATTATTTGGAGTCTTCAGAATGAGCAAGTCGCATTTAAGCCTTGCACTTCTATGGAGTGAGAGTAGCTATGTGGTTAAGATACTTGCCCTCAGTGCCAGGGTCTTGGATTCAATATCTGTCATGGCAACAAATTACAAAGCAACGCAGCTTTTAATTGGCCATATAAATGGTAATCCTAATGTAATATATTAAAAATTCAGCAATATTTAATAGTACAGTAGAACATTCACATAAAAATATCTTTGACTTTAGTTGCAAGAGACTGAAATAGATATAGTCTGGAGCAATAGCTAGTTTGGGTTATTATGAACACAACCAAGTTTGAGAGACCGGACTGAAGTCAAGGTGTTTTATATTCTTACATCCAAAACGTAAATCCAGATATATACACTGCCTTATGTGACGCCCATAGAACTATAGGCCAATGAATCCATCCTTGCTTTCTGTGACAATGCAAAAACGATACATAGCATGCACCACCTCACGTTGCGCTCTCCGTTCGCCATGGATCGTGTCGGCCGAAGACCTTTGGTGCAGTGTGTGCTTGGCTTTTATTATTAATATCACTTATGTATGATACAGTACTTGCTTCTATGAAGAAATTAATGATAGGCCTAATACACACAGGTGAAATGATATCTTTGATTTCAGGTTTCGTTACATGGTCTTGACTGTCTCATAGTCCTTGTCGAGCGTATGGATGACAAATTCAGGTGTCACATTGGAACAGGTGAGTGAATAACTACCGTATTTTCTGAGTATAAGCCCACCACCTCCTCCCCTCCCCCCACATTCTAATTCACGTACCAGTGTTTCCTCGGAAGTCAAGCCCAGTATGATTTGAATGAGTGTACTTTAATGAAATACTTGCATTAAAAATTGCCTTTTGATATGCCATCCCTAAGTTTAATGATGAACAGGAAATTACCAGGGTGTAAGACTATTCCACAAACTCTGCCCTATTTTGCCTGTCATGTCTTGCCATTGTCATACTAAATTTCATTTATCAAATTCTAGTGATAATAGCTTTGGGATCCTTTCCATGATCTGATGTAAACAGAAACGTAAACAACAACAAACCTGAACCTACAAAGCTACTGAATTCAACCTACTTCCCAAAATAATATATCACTCCTAAATATAGCGCATGATTCTAGGCCTCGTTTACTGGATCAAACATTGCACAGAATAATACGGAACACAATTCAACATTTTGGGTTCAAATTTGAAAACAAACTCATAAAATGTGCACATGTTCATTATAAATTTCAGCATATGAAGTGCTTGACGTAACTGTAACATACAGTACATCAAAAACAATATGAAATATAATTTTAAAAATTGTAAAGATATGATTTTTTGTGTGAGGGGGAGGGGAGAGGGGGTTGGTAACTGGTGGGGGAGCACTTTTTGCAACTCCTGTGCATGCTTTTCTGATGTTGACAGTATATTTTATTAAAGTTCAATTCAATTTTGATAGATTATTTGACATAAATAAGTATTGGAAATATTCATGGAAATGATTGTTGATTTGTAGTAAATTGTGCAGGCAGGCCAGGCACTTTGCGTACAGTCAGATTATTGTAATTCGAGTTTGCATTCATGTAGATTATAATTATCATAATTCATATGAAAATAAAAATATTTTGACATTGTAAATAGATCCCCTGAGGAAAAATATAACCTAGCAAACATGTGAATATACTCAACAATACTGTAACAACAATAATGTATTGTGTATACACAATGGAAATTTGCAAGGGGTTGAGGAGTTGAACTCTAGGCCTATTCGTAAAAAAACTCCTCAGTTTAAAATTGTCTCATCAAGGTAAATAATTATTTGAGCCCAAGTAATTAACAGTGTCATCTCCAAAGTAGGCCTATATTTAAAAAAAAGTTTAATTCATATTACACGAAAAAACAATTTGCTACTTACTGTATTACTCATCATTATTGTTATAGTAGCTTGGTTTCCAAGTCTGATGAAAACAGAAAAAAAAAACTCTATCTTGTATAATGTGGCATAATTTAAAGATTTAACGCCTGGGTTTGTTTGAATAATATTTTAAATCAACCAGGTAATATTATTGTAATTTTAAAAAATTCTGTTTTTATATTAACCTTGTATAGCGGTGATGTTTGGCGTTACTCTATAGTTGAAACTTAAATATTTTAAATAGTCCCTAGAATCTCTTTTGGATCATAATAATTTTTGTATTTATTTTGTTAGCTTCCACCATTTGAATTTAAGACTTGCATTGTTGAGTGGAACTTCCTTTTGGAAAATCAATGTTCAGAAAGAAAAGAGAATCTTCAGTGAGCTCTCCAGGAATAAAGTACCTTGTGATTGATAAAATACAATGCTTTTTATTGATGACATGGATTTTCATCAGTTGATATTAGTCTACAGTAGTTTCCATGGTTATTGCTTCAATTTTACTGGTGTCCATGGTGATTAATTTATGTTGGCATTATTTGAAAAACATGCAATTCATAGAAAAATACAACATACAGGTATATTTAAATAATCAATCCCTGTAAACATCATCTAATTTCAAACAAAATTTCATGTCTGAATTTGAATATAAATTATAGACGATGCATTCATTAATTTAATTGAGACAGAATATATGATACAATACTTGTGTTTGTCTTGTTTTTCTAGTTCTAATTTTAAGTATGAAAATATTTAGTTTAACATAATTAAGTTAAATTTTTTTTTTTCTTGCTTTTCTATTCTTTTTTTTTTTAGTTTAAATGTTCAAAATGGAAAGTAAGTTAATTCTTGAAAAGGTTTCAGTAAACATAAAAGTATTTTTTGAAGAAAAACTGGTAAAGAAGTTTTTAATTCTGGTGTTTTTACTCGAATTTCATGCACATTCACAATAATTACAACACAGTATCTCAAATTTAAATAGTTCAATATTAAATTTGAATGTTATAGTCTGTAATTTGTATGACTACTATATAATCCAATATTAATTGTCACCAGAGACTTTTAACACATGAATTGAAGTTCTTCTCAGTTGATGATAATTCTGCCATAACGCAATTAAAACAAGCATTAATTTGCATTCCGTAACCATCGGTGTACACAGACAGAGTGACAGATGAAAGAAAGGTCAACATAAGGTCAAGGTTGAGTGCTCATTCGGACAGTGTAACAGATGATGTTTTTTTTTTTTATGAATTATTGTGTTTATTTGAAGTTTTAAGTTATAATACAGTACTACTGTAGATTGCAATGATTTTATTACAGTAAACTAGGGAGATAGATACCTTGATTTCATACTTTCTGAAGTCCAAAAAGTCTGAGTTCATTTAAAAAAAAAAAATTACTAGGTATTAAAGGTTCTGAGATAGGAAGACATGCACACAAATACTATCTTGTTATGATTACTAATACTATGGGATCAAAATCATGTCAGAATAACTTCCCAACTTCAAGAATTTTTTTCAGATTTTCCATATATCTTACCTTAGGAACCAATTTCTAATGGCCATCTTTTCAACTGTCCACAAAGTAGTAAGAATGATTGTGGTGTCACCGGTCCATTGACATTGTGCACTCGTTGAAATGTTTTACGGAAGCTTTAACGCTTCATGTTACTAGTTTGTCTCAGTACAGTTTCTTTTAAAAGTTTGAGGGCTCATAGGATTCCTCATCTCTTTCCATGTTGTTTTTCTTTTTTATCCATGAATATCCTTATTCTTCTCAGTGCCAAGATGACCTTTCCAAGGAGACTTAACCTTTATAAAGAATGAAATACAATTATTTAGTTTAAAACTAAATATTTTAATTTAAAACAGTATAGTAATATTTATTTTGGCACTCCTGTTACCAATTAATGATAATGAAATATTCACACCTGTTTCAAAATAAATAGTGAGTATTATACATAATGTATCACAATACTATATAGTCTACTGCATAACATAATGTCAAAATTGATTTGCAGTAACATGTTATAATTAATTTTTCATAATTATAATTTAAAAATTGAATTATTATTTGCATAAAGTAGGGGATACATTTTTAATGAGAAGGGGAAACCCTTCTTTGTTTATTGTAAAAGTAAGTATTAAAAGTATCTCATAGAATACAAATTGTAATTAAATGAACAAAAAATGTAAAATTTTTAAATACAGTAGTGTACATTGTTCCCAACTGACAGCTACAGATGTGTTGTGCTGACAAAGCCACCATCAAATCTACTATACAAAAGGCATTAACATTTTCTATGAAAATATGGAATGTTACCTTTAATACACTACACAAGTATATGGTAGTTCAGGTCTCCCCCCCCCCCCCAATAAAGACCACTTTTGGGACTGGGGTTTCCATGGTCTTTAGCAGCTTTGGTCAGAATAATAAAGATAAAATAAATTTGTCAATTGAATGCTCATTTAGATAACCTTATGATGGTTGGAATACATCGTGATAGGTGAAGCAACCTCGACCATGACAGCGTGGTTGACAGATTTCATGCAAAATTTCCAAAAAATAGAATTTCACTTTCAAGAATGAGGATTTGAAAATAAATTAGATGGTTACATTGCATAATCTTTGTTTCTTGCTTTATTCAAAATGTTTTGGTTTATAAAGCTGATTTCAGCATTAGAAAGCATAGCCTACATGAAGTCATATAGTAACTCGATGCCTATCAAATAAGTAATAAAAATTCGCCATAATTCATCAAATATTCCGTGGCTTCCCCCACCGGGGTCCTTTGGCGGCCCCCCTGGCCCCCGACCGGGGGCCTTTGGCGGCCCTCTGGCCGCCAGCCAAGTGAGACTCAATTCGCTCCACTAGCCCCCCTGTCGGGGCCTTTAGCCCCTCCGTCGGGCAGGTCCTGGCGCCACCACTGAAAAGCTTGCATTATATTAGTTATCAAACACGCATTTAATCATCAATTAAAATTTACAAAGAAAAAGTAAGATACAACATCTTAACCATTTCCAGTCTGCCTCATTACCATTGCCTGAGGCTGTACTAAAACTGGGAAATTACATCATCTACACTAAATGTCGGGTTTTTACTGGGCACAAGCATTTTATTTGGTCTTAATCCAGGAGGCCCTCTACAGAAATACTCCTACATCACTCTCAAAAAATCCTATAGTGGGCAGCCTAGCTATAAAATAATTATGAAATCTATAAAGGGCGTACGTACGACGCCCCTCGCTATAAAGTATGGTCAAAGAGGGCGTCGTCACGACGCCATACGCCTGGAAAGGGTTAATTACGTTTAAAATTGGGATCAGTGGTTTGTCGGTGAGGAAAATGGCGTCCAGTTGAATCTTATAATATATTGTAGTATCATTCAAAGAAATATATTTAATTGGTCTAAAAAGCACAGTTTTCACCATCGTCATTTATTTTTTTAAATCTCCCTTGACCCACCAGGATCCCATTGGCAAATTTCTGTAGCACCACAATGTATGCACTTGTTATATTATCTGAAGATCGAAATAACAATCATAATCTGTGTTTATCTGTAGTATTAATTTCAAATGAATCATCATCCAGCAATTTATGAATTATTTCATATTATAATTTTAAAAATTATTTGGATAAAACTATTTATAATGAGGCAATTTTTTGTTTGTTTTAGTGATACCTGCAGTTATTGATAGACTTGGAGATAGCAAAGACCAGGTAAGATTAAATTTCAAAATGTTTTTATTATTAAATATGTTTATGTGAACAATTTATTATTATTTTTTTAATTATATGTATACACTTTGATGAACATGTCATTAAAACAAAATTCTATTATTATTTATAGCTCATAGAAATTGGATTCTATAAAATTTTCAAACCATATTTGTATTATTGTATTCTCGAAAACTATCAGATTATTATTCAATCTTTATCAGATAATTTAGAATCTGTTAGGTCCCATTTCTGCAGTTTGGATCAGATTTTTAATTATCATGTATTTATTGAAGAGTTATTAGAAAATTAGTGTTGTGAAACAGCAACACCCCTATAACTGTAGTACCATAATAAAAATTTATCATAATCATGGCCATTACTGTTTCAATAATTATCATTATACTGTAATCATTTGATTGCCACAATCAATATAAAAAGTAAATATTGGATCTATCTACACGGTAGCACTGTACTGGATACACCTAGTTTCCTGCTGTCAGATAGTAACACCTGACCTTCAAATATTCAAAGAGAAGATTGCATGACTTGCACACCTCATACAATGACTGTTGACCAAGCAGATGATTTTAGTGCTGATTGAGAGATTGAAGGACGTTTCAAAATAGGAATACTTTGTTCAAATAAACAAAAAAACATTACAGTATAAAGTACAAGAGAATCGTTCACATAGGTATATGCAGGGAGTTGTTGTGATTATTAATTAAAGAAAACTGGAGGGCCTATTAAAGAGGGGACCTCCTTTCTTAAAGAACTTTATAATGTTAGCTAGGGATCATCTCCCTTAAAGAACCTCAGAACCTATACAATAATGTTATCTAGGGACCACCTCCCTTTAAACATAATAATGTTATCTAGGGACCACTACCTTTAAAGAACCTGTAATTGTCATCAACCTCCTTTAAAGAACCTAATGTTATCTAAAGTAGTGACTATCTCCTGAAAGAACCTATAATGTCATCTAGGGAAAATCACCCATAAAGGAACCTGTACTAGTGTCATCTAGGGACAACCCCTTAGGACCACTTCCCATAAAGAACCTATAATGTCATCTTTCCGTGTAAACTGCTAGCGGTGCCATTTTCTACCTGCACTGGCAGCCTTTCCTGCATTACCAAGGTGTAAGTCCAGTAACCATCAATGGTGCAATATGTTTACTCATAATTTGAATTGATCGTCCCTGATGCTTTAATGGTTTTTGTTGTCAATATAGGCCCTCCGTGCCCAGAACCTAACCAGTTGGACTTGTTGGAGTTCTCAGTTCTATGAGATTTAATGTATTAGGTTTTGGGTTTGTTAACAAAAAAATGATGATAGTAAAATTCTAATGACCAGTGGAAGTAAAGCTGAAACAAAAATAAAACAATAAACAGTATAAACAATATTATTATTCAGATAAATTCATTAGCTCAAAATAAATTATTGTAAATCACTTTCAGTGACTAATTAACTATAGAGTACCATGGTCGTGTCGTCACAACGCCAGGTGGCGCTCTCTGTTGTCAACAGACGTAGGTTACCGTTCATTACGCCTGAATGACTTCATAGGCTTTCTGGAATAGGCATTTTAAAATCAAATATTTACCATCAAAATGTACTAAAAACAAAAGCTCCAGTGGTTGCACCAGAGGGGCTGGGGGGTCTATAGCCCCCCCCCTGTTGGGGAGCATAGCCCCCCCGTTGGGGAAGACGATAAATTTTGTCGGGGAACAAACAAATAAAAAAAATACTTGCATGTAATATTCGTTCAGCCACCATATTGTTTGTGTTAAATTTTCATCATCACAACAACAATAATTATAATAATAATAATAATAATAATAATAATAATAATAATAATTCAATGAGACTAATTGAAAATAATTTGCATTATGACAAATGCTCATTTAGATAACCTTATGATGGTTGGAATACATCGTGATAGGTGAAGCAACCTCGACCATGACAGCGTGGTTGACAGATTTCATGCAAAATTTCCAAAAAATAGAATTTCACTTTCAAGAATGAGGATTTGAAAATAAATTAGATGGTTACATTGCATAATCTTTGTTTCTTGCTTTATTCAAAATGTTTTGGTTTATAAAGCTGATTTCAGCATTAGAAAGCATAGCCTACATGAAGTCATATAGTAACTCGATGCCTATCAAATAAGTAATAAAAATTCGCCATAATTCATCAAATATTCCGTGGCTTCCCCCACCGGGGTCCTTTGGCGGCCCCCCTGGCCCCCGACCGGGGGCCTTTGGCGGCCCTCTGGCCGCCAGCCAAGTGAGACTCAATTCGCTCCACTAGCCCCCCTGTCGGGGCCTTTAGCCCCTCCGTCGGGCAGGTCCTGGCGCCACCACTGAAAAGCTTGCATTATATTAGTTATCAAACACGCATTTAATCATCAATTAAAATTTACAAAGAAAAAGTAAGATACAACATCTTAACCATTTCCAGTCTGCCTCATTACCATTGCCTGAGGCTGTACTAAAACTGGGAAATTACATCATCTACACTAAATGTCGGGTTTTTACTGGGCACAAGCATTTTATTTGGTCTTAATCCAGGAGGCCCTCTACAGAAATACTCCTACATCACTCTCAAAAAATCCTATAGTGGGCAGCCTAGCTATAAAATAATTATGAAATCTATAAAGGGCGTACGTACGACGCCCCTCGCTATAAAGTATGGTCAAAGAGGGCGTCGTCACGACGCCATACGCCTGGAAAGGGTTAATTACGTTTAAAATTGGGATCAGTGGTTTGTCGGTGAGGAAAATGGCGTCCAGTTGAATCTTATAATATATTGTAGTATCATTCAAAGAAATATATTTAATTGGTCTAAAAAGCACAGTTTTCACCATCGTCATTTATTTTTTTAAATCTCCCTTGACCCACCAGGATCCCATTGGCAAATTTCTGTAGCACCACAATGTATGCACTTGTTATATTATCTGAAGATCGAAATAACAATCATAATCCTGTCTCTTATACACATCTAGATGTGTATAAGAGACAGAGGTAAGGTTCTGAGGTAGGAAGACATGCACACAAATTTATATACCATCTTGTTATGATTACTAATACTATGGGATCAAAATAATGTCAGAATGACTTCCCAACTTCCAGAATTTTTTTCAGATTTTTCATATTCTTACCTTAGGAACCAATTTCTAATGGCCATCTTTTCAACTGTCCACAAAGTAGTAAGAATGATTGTGGTGTCACCGGTCCATTGACATTGTGCGCTCGTTGAGATGTTTTACGGAAGCTTTCTACGCTACTAGTTTGTCTAGTACAGTTTCTTTTAAAAGTTTGAGGGCTCATAGGATTCCTCATCTCTTTCCATGTTGTTTTTCTTTTTTATCCATGAATATCCTTATTCTTCTCAGTGCCAAGATGACCTTTCCAAGGAGACTTAACCTTTATAAAGAATGAAATATAATTATTTAGTTTTCTATTAAAAATATTTTAATTTAAAACAGTATAGTAATATTTATTTTGGCACTCCTGTTACCAATTAATGATAAGGAAATATTCACACCTGTTTCAAAATAAATAGTGAGTATTGTACATAATGTATCACAATACTATATAGTCTACTGCTAACATAATGTCAAAATTGATTTGCAGTAACATGTTATAATTAATTTTTCATAATTATAATTTAAAAATTGAATTATTATTTGCATAAAATAGGGGATACATTTTTAATGAGAAGGGGAAACACTTTTTTGTTAATTGTAAAAGTAAGTATTGAAAGTATCTCATAGAATACAAATTGTAATTAAATGAACAAAAAATGTAAAATTTTTAAATACAGTAGTGTACATTGTTCCCAACTGACAGCTACAGATGTGTTGTGTTGACAAAGCCACCATTAAACCTACTATACAAAAGGCATTAATATTTTCTATGAAAATATGGAAAGTTATCAGTTTAATACACTACATGAGTATATGGTAGTACAGGTCTCTCCCCCCCCCCCCAATAAAGACCACTTTTGGGACTGGGGTTTCCATGGTCTTTAGCAGCTTTGGTCTCTAATTAGAATAATAAAGATAAAAGAAATTTGTTAACTTGGGACCATAGAATAGTGGTCCATAGTTGGAGGTGGTCCTTAAATGGAGGGGTCTTTCATTGGAGGGAGACCTGTATATGTAGTAGGCATCTTGTTAATACTCAACTGTCATTAGAATCTGATATCTAGGTAGTTGTAAAAGTAATCTAATGTAAACAATACATTTTATATCCCGTAATATTTAGTAATCATAACAATTAATTAATGTACCATACAACCATGGGTGCTATTGGTGGGTATTCATCACTTGTTGTAATAATGCCAGGATTTGTAATGTTTGTGTGAGCTGGAAATAATGTCCCCAAGTCCCAGGATGTACAAAGGTGCAGTATTTGGATTTCTCTCATACTCATGATTGATTTTAGGAAATTAAATTCCACATGAAATAATCAGCACATCCGAAAAATTAATATCATGTTTTGTTGCCCAGAACCTAACCAGTTGGACTTGTTGGAGTGCTCAGTTCTATGAGATTTAATGTATTAGGTTTTGGGTTTTATTAACAAAAAAAAATGATGATAGTAAAATTCTAATGACCAGTGGAAGTAAAGCTGAAACAAAAATAAAACAATAAACAGTATAAACAATATTATTATTCAGATAAATTCATTAGCTCAAAATAAATTATTGTAAATCACTTTCAGTGACTAATTAACTATAGAGTACCATGGTCGTGTCGTCACAACGCCAGGTGGCGCTCTCTGTTGTCAACAGACGTAGGTTACCGTTCATTACGCCTGAATGACTTCATAGGCTTTCTGGAATAGGCATTTTAAAATCAAATATTTACCATCAAAATGTACTAAAAACAAAAGCTCCAGTGGTTGCACCAGAGGGGCTGGGGGGTCTATAGCCCCCCCCCTGTTGGGGAGCATAGCCCCCCCGTTGGGGAAGACGATAAATTTTGTCGGGGAACAAACAAATAAAAAAAATACTTGCATGTAATATTCGTTCAGCCACCATATTGTTTGTGTTAAATTTTCATCATCACAACAACAATAATTATAATAATAATAATAATAATAATAATAATAATAATAATAATTCAATGAGACTAATTGAAAATAATTTGCATTATGACAAATGCTCATTTAGATAACCTTATGATGGTTGGAATACATCGTGATAGGTGAAGCAACCTCGACCATGACAGCGTGGTTGACAGATTTCATGCAAAATTTCCAAAAAATAGAATTTCACTTTCAAGAATGAGGATTTGAAAATAAATTAGATGGTTACATTGCATAATCTTTGTTTCTTGCTTTATTCAAAATGTTTTGGTTTATAAAGCTGATTTCAGCATTAGAAAGCATAGCCTACATGAAGTCATATAGTAACTCGATGCCTATCAAATAAGTAATAAAAATTCGCCATAATTCATCAAATATTCCGTGGCTTCCCCCACCGGGGTCCTTTGGCGGCCCCCCTGGCCCCCGACCGGGGGCCTTTGGCGGCCCTCTGGCCGCCAGCCAAGTGAGACTCAATTCGCTCCACTAGCCCCCCTGTCGGGGCCTTTAGCCCCTCCGTCGGGCAGGTCCTGGCGCCACCACTGAAAAGCTTGCATTATATTAGTTATCAAACACGCATTTAATCATCAATTAAAATTTACAAAGAAAAAGTAAGATACAACATCTTAACCATTTCCAGTCTGCCTCATTACCATTGCCTGAGGCTGTACTAAAACTGGGAAATTACATCATCTACACTAAATGTCGGGTTTTTACTGGGCACAAGCATTTTATTTGGTCTTAATCCAGGAGGCCCTCTACAGAAATACTCCTACATCACTCTCAAAAAATCCTATAGTGGGCAGCCTAGCTATAAAATAATTATGAAATCTATAAAGGGCGTACGTACGACGCCCCTCGCTATAAAGTATGGTCAAAGAGGGCGTCGTCACGACGCCATACGCCTGGAAAGGGTTAATTACGTTTAAAATTGGGATCAGTGGTTTGTCGGTGAGGAAAATGGCGTCCAGTTGAATCTTATAATATATTGTAGTATCATTCAAAGAAATATATTTAATTGGTCTAAAAAGCACAGTTTTCACCATCGTCATTTATTTTTTTAAATCTCCCTTGACCCACCAGGATCCCATTGGCAAATTTCTGTAGCACCACAATGTATGCACTTGTTATATTATCTGAAGATCGAAATAACAATCATAATCTGTGTTTATCTGTAGTATTAATTTCAAATGAATCATCATCCAGCAATTTATGAATTATTTCATATTATAATTTTAAAAATTATTTGGATAAAACTATTTATAATGAGGCAATTTTTTGTTTGTTTTAGTGATACCTGCAGTTATTGATAGACTTGGAGATAGCAAAGACCAGGTAAGATTAAATTTCAAAAAGTTTTTATTATTAAATATGTTTATGTGAACAATTTATTATTATTTTTTTAATTATATGTATACACTTTGATGAACATGTCATTAAAACAAAATTCTATTATTATTTATAGCCCATAGAAATTGGATTCTATAAAATTTTCAAACCATATTTGTATTATTGTATTCTCGAAAACTATCAGATTATTATTCAATCTTTATCAGATAATTTAGAATCCGTTAGGTCTCATTTCTGCAGTTTGGATCAGATTTTTAATTATCATGTATTTATTGAAGAGTTATTAGAAAATTAGTGTTGTGAAACAACCCTATTCCTGTCTCTTATACACATCTAGATGTGTATAAGAGACCTGTATAAATAAATAAATGATATATATTGTAGCAAATACCGTTGGGATGGTAATGATTGAAATACAGTATGATGCCATAATAAAATTGTTATTTATTAATGATCAGCCTCATGTAAATAAACTTACAAATGTTGCTTCGTAACTGTAAGTTAATGTTGCCTTTTGGCAAGCAGATCTTTTTTAGTGTCCTGATAATTTATTTAATTTTAGTTTCATAATTTTTACTGTTTACTATACCTGCGTTTTTTATGTTTTGCTATATTTATACATTCAAAATCATGAACTCAACTGATTACAAAAATGTATTTTTGAATACATTATAAATATCTTTTATATTTTATTTTTATTATTTATTTGAAATAACATGTACTGTAATATTATATTGTCATAGGTGCGAGAGGAGGCTCTGGCTTTAATACAAAAATTAATGGGAGTATCAACTTCACAGGTAAGGCACACCTCATCCTATAGGAAAAATAAACTAACATAAGATTGTGCAGGAAAGGTAAACACCACCCACAGATACTTAACTGTATCAAACTTTGTAATTAATACTACATGTGTACACCCACATGTAAAGTGTACCACACCCTAAATAGTTTAACAATGAATAATAGTCCTGTTGGTCCTATTGTTATACTGACCAATGGCAGAGAAGAATACACTCACATTGAAACAATTGAAACAATTACTTTGATTTCAGTGATCTCTCAATACCTATCGTAGCAGATATTAGAAATCTCTAGTTTCTATCTAAAATTGCTTGCCAATTTCTGCAAAATTAAACAACAGTAATTCAAAAATAATGTAATTTTCTGCTTCCTTCCCAAACCTACAGTACTGTGTGGCCCTTTGCCTGTCATTTTGATATAAATATTAAATTGGTCCCATAATTCTTCTAGTGAAGCCTGGTTTCCTTAAAAATTGCAACATGATATCGCCGACTCCTTTCTGACGCTGATTGCTCAGTTGAATCAGGGTGCGATTGAGTCGGGACAGGTACGCAGCGTAAGAATTTCAGTGAAACGCTGTAGCGACTGTGTAGCAATTCTATGGAAACATGGCTTTAGAACCATTTAAATTTTGTTGAGTTAATTTGTTAGTACATAATTTCATAGAACATTTTTTTATTTATCTTGTAAAGTTGTACTCTTTTCCTGTGAAGACTAATTTGAGTGTTTTTTTTCCCTTGCAGTATGTATTTGAACGACTAATGAAAGCTTTTGTACATAAAAATTGGAGAGTTCGAGAAGAAGTTTTAAATTGTCTACAACAAACTATAAATGTGTAAGTATTTAACATAGAATTAAATAATCATCATAATAAATTGGTTGCTTTCTTAATCAATAAATTGAAGTAAAAAAAAATTTTCCCAAATTTACTCAGAATTATAAGAAAATAAAAAATTTTAAGCACTATTGGAATAGAAGTTTATAGCTATGTATTAATTTTAATGTATTTTTATATGCTTAGTTTAAGTCATCTAATAATTTATTGATATTATCAAGAGGCATTTGTTAAGTATGTATGGCACACAGATTACCTGAATTAATTAGGCTTTGAGCAATTTCTACATACCATCACATAAAAACTCTTTTTCCCAATACTGGCTATATAATATTCATGTTGAATGGAAGTTGTCAGAGTTTAAACTGTATTACATGGCTTTATAATGCTACCATATGTCACAACCTTTTGAAGAGCAAAAAATAAAGACCTTATTCTTTGCCTAATCAATATTTTGTACTATATTAATTTATCAATTACATATTTAAAACGTATTGTATCCTATAAGTACTTTTTAAAATAAAGTGTTATAATTTCAGGTAAGTATTTTCGAATACAATACAAGTATACCTAAAATACTTTTAAATACACTACAAAATACTTACATAATTATTAAAAAGGATTAAATTAATTTTTATTTTCTAAAATATTATTTTATACTTTATCATGCCACCCATAACAAAATACATTGAAACATAAGTAAAAAGCTCAATATATAGTATATATTCATTTTTTTTCTTCCAAAAACTAAAAGTTAGAATTAAGCAGTTAGAAATTGAAGAAAATTTTGAAAATATAGTTTAGATAGCAGTACTTATTCAAAATAAAACCTCATTGTTACTAAATGTTATTTAGCATATTCAAGGAGTGAAATTCATTGTTTTGATTAGCAGGAGGGTTTTTAATGGACCAAGGCACGTAGACTTCAACATCAAAATCAGCATGAGATGCTGTGTACTTGGCATTTCTCTGCAATTAACTCCATAGCAACAAACTGTGATCTCTGTTCTATTATTCTTGCCTGGAGAGAAAGAAACCATTTATACTGCCCTCTGTATTCCTTTGACCTTTAGCTTACATATCTACAGTATAAAGTTTTAACAAAAGCATTAATCAGTAAATTTAATTGGAAATTTATAGCAAAGGAAATAAAATATTTGTACCAAAATTAATAAACATTTATGATAATACAACTAATATACTATTACTAATATTTTTATAATCAATTTCAGAATCATGTGATATTGTGCACATATTTTAGGTGTTTGCGCCCTCTACAGTTTCTTACTGTAAATACAGTATTCAAAACAATGGCATAATTATTGCAATACAATTTTTTGTACAATGTTTATATTTGATAATATATTCCATGATTTTTTTCTTACAAAAATTATATTAATTATAATTGCATTTTCATCATTCTTATACCTTGTTGTATCACTTTCTTTTAATGCAGCGAGAGAAACCGGTATGCAATTTTATGTATTATTGTTGATGTTTATTTTAATTTTAATGTGGTGGTGTTAAAATTATATTAATGTGCTTTCCTACTATTTTGATGGATTTGATGTCAATTTATGGTTTAAAGACCATGTGTCTTAGATATTCGTCATTATGTTTTATTTATAATCGTTGGTGTTTACACCAAATAAATCCATCCATTGATCCGTCCAATCAGTTGTGATCAGTGCATTGTTTAAATTGACCTTTGAGGTTAGTTGTATTTAATTTTAAATACATTTTTTTGTAAATATTCAAAATTTGTATTTTATTATATTGTATTTTTATTGTCATAGTATCATATTGTATGAGTGCCTAATAAATCAAATTAAAATCAAGTAACCCTATTCTACTCAACATGCTAAGTTCAAATGTACTTACTGTTTTTACTTTAAATTTATAGCATTTTGTAATTTTTATGCTTATTATATTAATGGTTGCGTTGTGTAATTATTTTACTTTAACATTTAAATACTTTATTTCAGATATGGAGCTGGCTCCCTAGTTCTTTCAAAACTTGTTCCATCCATTTGCAAACTCTTAGGTGATCCAAATAGCCAGGTAAAGTTCAAATACACATGTAAACAATACATAGTAAACAATAAATATTTATGATTACTCAGGAATTAACATGCATTTCTACAGTGCTGTATGATATACTGCATTACAGGCAAATGCCTCAATTAAAGAATGATAGTATTTGAATGAGTTCTTTTAGAAACATGTAGTTGACATTGCATGTTTGAGTGCATTCTCAGTATTTAGAGTAGAATTCACAATGCTTTTTGCAAAAAATGTTCTGCTTCATGTGATCATAGGATTATGATAAATATATAGTGCAAACTTGTATTTGATCATTATATTTGAACCAGGGCTAATTATTAAATAATAAGTTAGATCTATGAATCTCTTAACACCGAGAAGTCCCACAATTATATCTAATATATAATGACCTCCAAAACGATTGGAATAACAATTTACCTAGTAAACATTTACAATTTATTTAATCTGATATTTAATTCTTTATACAATTTTTCTTGTTATTGTTGGAGCAGTAATTAGCTACCTCATTTTGATAAATTCATTATCTACTCTTAAGTTGATGAGTTAACTAACTGTTTCCAACTGATGTTTAAAAACCGATTCCAGTATGCTAATTGTTAGTATAAATCATGAGATTAAGTAAATGCATTAACGACCATATCAAGAGGGAAATTGTGGCCATTGAAAATAGCTGAGACGGAGGAGGTGATTTCGCAAGTTGTCAACTTCATCTTTTGAAACGTGCAGAATTAAAAGCTAAAGCTAGCCACAAACACATTGATAAACGTGCTTATCACGAAATCACCTGGTCTAATACGTCATTCTAGTATAAATTTAGGTTTGTACGAACGCATGTGTTTATTTTGATGCAAAACCAAGGAAACTTTAAACTTTCCGTGCCAAACATGGTATTTTAAATTAAAAGATACGATTCATATTTACGCAAAGGATAATAATGGCTTCCTTTGATAACGATGAGAAAGTAAGTACTCCATGACAATTTTGTTGATAGTTTTTTTTAAATAATTATATGTAACATAATTAATCATTATTGTGGTACCTTATATTTTTCTTTTTGTTTTGGGGATTTTTATGTTTTGTCTTATATTTTTAAGGGCCTGCTTAAGTTGTTACTTACTCTATGCTGGTTTTCTGAAAGAAGTAGTCTGTTATTAACAATAGAATCGTTTTACAGCAATTTATAGTACATTATCCAGTAATTTGTAATTTATTGCTATGATATAGTGTCTCCTTCAGATAAAATTAATAAATAATATTTACATAATTCCGAATGTAAACAAACTCTTGATAATTAAGCTGGGCACTCTAATTTTTTGACCATTATGTTTACCTAATACTAATGTTCATTTAATTACTATCACCAATTACTTTTGAGATAGAAAGAGGTATTAATTTAATTTTGATCTGAATTATGTCTGTTGATCATTAATGGTGTTGTAGCTACAGACTGTAAATAAATAAAATTTTCACTACTGATAGATGGGTCCTATTTAGGTAAATACATTTTAGAAGTCCATAAATAGTTCTAAATAGTTCACTTACTAAACTCATGTAATTAATTAGATGGCTTTAAAAACTAGGACCGGAGTAGGTTATTTTTAAAAGGGTTGAAAATATTAAAATTTAAAAAAAATTTATTTCATGTTCTTTACATCTTATGACAAACTACACTCCTCAGGCTGGTAAACATGATTTTTTGGGGGGTATTTATAAAAAAAAGGGAACCAGTTTGGTTCCTGGTGGTGTTTAGGTACCCCTCACCCCATAAGGTTGGTATACAAGTGAGCTCCCCGGGTCAAAAACCATAACCCCTCCCAGCATTAGTTACTGTTACAGTATTATTCATAATTAAGATTCTGTAAGGAAAATCTATGGAATAAAATTTTGGCCATTCCTGTTTTACAGGTACGAGACACAGCGATCAATACACTAGTTGAAATTTACAGACATGTTGGCGAAAAAGTGCGGGTAGATTTGGGCAAAAAAGGAATTCCGTCTTCAAGGTAGGTTCAAATAATCGAATAATACATCCTTTAGTAATTAATGGCGCTGAGGTGCATACAACCAATTAAGGAATACCATTTCATAAAATGTGGGGGAAAAAACCTTAAAACTTTTAAGTAAAGCTATGAATACCTCATTTAAAGGACCAAATAAAGTTACGGTATGAACTTTGAATAGGGACGCTAAAATGGAATTACTCATGCGTGACCGTCCTACCTGGTGTCCTACGTTCTCTGCATACGTAGATTTGGCCAAATTGCATTCTAGAATCTACTCGACGAGGTGAGCTTAACGTTCTCGCATGTGCAGATGACTTTCAGTGACGTTATTACATTCTACGTCCTACCCTCGTCGTGCAGTCGAAAGTTCTAAATGATGCACAAATTGAACCTAAAAACGTATCGCTAATTTACAGAGCTTTTACTACAAAAATCCTTAGATTAATTACGCGCTAACACAAAGAGTACAGAAATAGGGTTAATAATTTATTCCTAACTGGTGCGGCATTTTTTTATCCTGATTATTCAATTAAAGCTAGTCAGTTATAATTAATATATTGATATATTTTGAGCTGAAAATTGATAGTACATTTTAAAGAGATGGTAGAATGTTTGTACTTATAAAATGCATTATTATAGAAAATCTGGCTCTACATAATATGTAAATTTGTGAATACAGTATTTAGTATAAAATAGTTGCTAATTAAACTGTCTAAGAAAGTAAAGCAATTTTGGCTCCTGGGACCCATCGCAGCCTCAGTGCAATGCCACCCTAGGGACAAACACCTTTTTTCCCCCCAAAGAGTGGTGCATTCTTCAATATGCCCATTGCCACGTTTTACAATGACTACTATACTGGCTAAAACATCAAAAGATGATACGTTATAATCAGTGTTCTGGGGGAGCAACCAATTTTATACTACGTAATACTGCCTTCTGTACATTGCACTAATATGGCATGTTGCTAACACACTTTGGCTTATCTTTTGTAGGCCTCTAAGGTAAATATATGATGGTAGAAATTAGACATGAAAAAAAAATTGCAAATCGATTGGACTTAAAATATTGTTCCGTTACTAGCATTTCTGTGATAATAACATAGTTCCATGGGTATATGCCCACCTTCTACTTTACAGTGTATATAATAGTTTCACAAACCAGCAAAATTCTTGCAAAAGCCCAGTGTGTTTTTAATACTATATAGCTTAGCAAAAAATCAAAGATTGGCTTTGAATTGGGCATGGAGTATTGAAAATTTGCCTTTACATTGGCCACTATATGGTTTTTATGAACATAGAAGGGGCGGATCCAGAGATGTCCGAAAGGGGAACCGAAAGTGGGGCCAATCAAACCAACACTATTGCAGGGGTTCCGGGGGTTGGAAACTTTAGTTTTCTAGACACCCGAAAATAACCTCTGAGGCTGTTTTGGGCGAAAAAGTAGGGGCATGGGCTGGCCCTAGTCCCCTCCAAATCCGCCCCTGCATAGGATTTCCTGGGTATAAGCACATCCACTATTAATTGGCCCAATTTCATGTTCAAAAGGATGGGCTGATTTCAGAGAAACTACGTCAGACAATTTTACAGGAATTATTTAATTTTCAAATTTCCTACCTTATTATTTTAATATCATCAGGCTTAAAAACACATTTTCGGGACAACCCAATTTACCATTTCTCTTTTATTGTTATTTTGCTTTCTTCAGTGCCTTCCAAATGCATGTTAAAATTTTAATAATATGTTGACTAAATATGACGGTTACAAAAACTTGAAAAATATTTTTTTCTGTGGCTTTTCGAACGATGTAGCATAACGGTATTGAATTATGTGGTTCTGCATGTCAAACAAAGTAAAAAATTGCTGACTATGACATAATTAATACTTTGATCTCTGTTCTATTTATCAAGTTGGTCAGTCCTACAAGATCATTTTTTTAAAATATTAATCTAAAAATCTAGCAACAGTAGAGATAAGCAACATTTATAGTACAAATATTATTTTGACACCAGTTAATGAACATTAAAAGTGTGGTATGTAAATTTTTAACTAGTGATATGTTTGCCAGGAGCTGATTGGCTGTTGAATATAAACAGAACAAAAATAATTCTTCTGATTGGTTTGTTTCCAGATTATCAATTATTTATGCAAAGTTTGATGATGTGAAGCGATCTGGAGGAATGCTGGTAAATCCTGAGTATGGTGAGTTGAAGAATTTTCTAAATACCGATGAAAAATTTATGAGCAATTTTATTGCAATAGAAAAACACTTTTGATATAACTTTAAAATGAAAAACAGGTCAAAATGTCTGATAAAAGCCAACTAGGATTAATACAGTAATTAGATTTAAACAAATTTAAAATTAGGCTCTCACAACCTTTTAGGACTAAAAATGTTAATGGTACTCAGTTCACAAGAATGACAGTCAACATAAACAGAGTACAAATACCACCATTATATAGATCTACAATATACTTGTAGTTGTAGATAAAAGTAATTGTGGAATTATTTGAACATAATGCCTTTACCAAGATGGCTGTGGACCAATTGAATTTCCTATTCTCAAAAACACTCTATCACCAATGTTTTACACTAGAAATCATTATTGCACCTGATTCGATTGTTGCACTTTTTGACTGGAATTTTGTGGTTTTTTGAGTAAAATTGGTTTTGATTGTAATTAGTGAAATAACTGACATAAGATATTTGCTATTTTTCATTTAATATGATTTAATCTTGTTACTGTGTATTATTGGAGGAAGTGTCAGGGAATTGACAGAATTGCTTATGTCTTGTCAGGCCCATAGCCAGCTTCTTCCAAGGGGGGTTTTGTGAGCGTAATGTCCACAGTCAAAGCCTCGGTGGGGTCAAAGAAACCCCAAAGCAAGAGAATTTTTGTGCTTTATGGGTATAAATAATGCTATAAAAGCAGATATGTTTGAAAATGTCAGTGTCTGGGTGGGTCTGCAGTGCATTAGTTGGGTTGGAAGACTTATTTAGGAAATTTAAAGAGGGGGATTCGCCAGAAAAGAGTTGGGTTTGCTAGAAAAGGGGGGTTTCTCCCAAACCATAAAAACCCCCCTGGATACGGGCCTGCTTGTAATACTGCAGTTTATGTATTTTTATAATTTATTTTCATAGTCTTTGTAAATGTTTTTTGAAAATGTAATTGCAACCAATTTCTTAACCGTGTTTATTAGCTTTTAAATATTGAACAAAATATAAACAAAATGCAACATTTAATTTTAAAAAACTGAATAATAAGTGCTCACTATTCCTGACTATTCATAATTATATTAGAATGATTTGAATTTAACTCTGAAGATTGCAGTTATTATTATTATTATTAACCTAGTAGTAGTGATTGGCATTACTGTTTATGAATATTTATATTGTTGATAATATCATTAGCATAACCTTTGACTAGAGTGGGTGGACTGCTTTGCATTGGCAATTAGTCAACTCTAATAATGCATGCTACAAAATCAATCAATTTTTATAGATAGAAATTGTTTAAAATCATGAATTTCCTTTTAGTTTTTAGTGTTCACAACATTCCCACTGTCTTTCATGTAGTCTACAAGCAACTAGCTAGCCAATTATGCTGTGCTATACTACCACTCCCAAAGCCTACAGTAGACTCACCTGTGCAGAGATATAATAACGATGTTAAAGTGAGAATACAATACAATCCCTGTGTATTCTCTACTGTAGTATAAAGAATACACTGTAATCATTTAACTATTGTTTATTTTGTTTCTTTTGTGTTGACAAGTGTCACGGATCAAGTGCACAACCATATCAATACTGCTGAGGCCCCTGTTCTATTTTTGGCCCACTTCCTACTCAACTTGTTTGATTTAAGTAAAGTCAATAACTAAACAATTACGCACAATGATAGTAATTGAAATGACTCAGAATGTTGAACTTTAGATGTTAACATTGAGATAATTAAAAATTAGATAATGAAGATGATGTACTTACTCACTTGGGGTCCCAGCATCCTAGCTTGTGAGGTTGTTGTGAACGGTCTCTCTAGTAATCTACTCTATATGCAATAAAGCAATGACTCACATGATATACTAGCTCTGTGTCAAGGCCAGTCCCTAAAGCCAAGTGATTGACTAAAACACCCTTTTTTCAGTCTACTGAGAATTGTAAAACTTGATAGCAGATTGATATTGCAATCAGCTTGATATTCTTTGACCTCTGCCATCTTCAGCTCTTGTGACATTTGAACGATCTACACAAGAAAAAAAATAACATGCCGGGTATTAGCTAAGCTGTGCTGGCTCTAGTTCAGGAAAGGTTTGCAGTACCTAGAGTCTGGATTTCACATACAGTACAGGAAGTGCCGTTTATAGTCAAGAACTGAAACCTCTTGTTATTCCATAGCTGTTTACGTATGACACAGGATGGAGATATTGTACAAACTGTAAATGTACAACCTCTGACCTCTCTGTTTCCTGATGGTTTTACACAAGTCCTTATACTAGAATTTTATAAGGGAGAATTATGGCTGACGAAAAGACCAAGAAAATCTTGCATATGATTGAGTGCATGTATCGTAAGTTGAGGCCTTGCCATGGATTATTCATTATTTAGAAGTGACACGCAGGCAAACTGCATACAACATTCAATGACTACAACACATACAAATGTTTACGCTAAATATTTATATATGATGTAAGACAGTTCTGTAGTGTTCCTGGTTAGATAAGATTTAAAGGGCAGCTTGGGCATGTTTGGGCTAAAATAAAGGGCAAAAGATTTTAATATAAAGCGATTTAAAAGTGACATATTTGTGAATAGAGATTTTATATGAGGTAGGATCAGATTTGAATTACTATAGATATAAACAGTAGGGTGAAGATTTGACAAATTATTATTAGAGATTGGATTTAGAGGTTACATCCAAGCTCATATACCGTACAGTAATGTCTCCGTGGTCTAATGGTATGACACTAGCCTTGATTGCGAGAGGTTACAGGATTGAATTCCGCCAGTAACATTTTCTTTCATACAACTAGTAATAGGCAACTTTTTCATTGAAGGACTATGTTTGACATGAATATAAATGTCATGTTTATAATTTTATGCACTGTTATTATAATTTATTTATTTATATAAATTGTGTTTACAGTGCTTCATAGCAAACCTTATTTGAATATTATTTTCTATTAGAGATTAGCCTTTTTAGGTGATCAGATTTGGATTACCTTATATCCAAGATAAGCTAGATAAGCTGTACAATTACATTGGGTAATAGATTATGTATTTTGAAGTAGGATTAGATTTTGATTAGATGTAGGCTAAAGTATATGAAGAGCTATATTTATACAATGTGGATTATCTTATGGTAGATTTTTATTAGATTGAGGAAAGTGTGGGATATGGATTATCTATGGAAGATTTGTATTTTAAGGTAGGATCAGATTTGGAGTACATTCGTCGTAAGAATGACAAGCTTAAGAGTGGGATATGAATTATTAGTTAATAGTATCTTGAGTACGATAAAAAAAATCGGATTTTGATTTAGATTTAGGTTGTAATGAGAGGAAATGTAAGGACTTGGTTTTAAAAAATTGAACATTTGGAATACATACTTGGATGTTTATGTCAGCTACCTGATCCATGACCTTATTTATTCTATCAGATTGTAATATTTACATAGGTTCCTATGAAATAAAAAGCAAGGTCAGCCTTAATATGATTGCATCTGTATTAATAACCTTTACTCTGTATGGTAAACACATACTAGTATTATAATGTCAATTAAAACCTAAAATTTGGTACATGATGGATATAGGATGTGTATTTGAACTACATGTGTTGATGAATAATAAAGCAGTGTGCAATAATAAAAATCAGTTGTGGAAATTTGAGGCCCTGCATTATATTTATGCATGAGGTCATCTTGGATTTTCCCTGATGTTAGTCAGTTGGCCATTTTGTAAACTTGTAACGAATAAACTAGCCTTGCTAGTATACTGTAGGATTGAAAGCATAGATTTGTTTTTTAATTACTGTCATTCATTTTTAATCAAACATGCATCCTCTTAGATTCACGAGTTAAAAACCTGCATCATCAGAATTCTCAGATAACAGCCTGTCCCTGTGAGCCACCGACAATCAGTGGACGGCATCGCGTCGTTTAACGATCACAGGGAGCGAAGTTAGATTCCGTTATGACCGTCAAGAGTGAGTGGCCAGCGTTAGTCGGCTGACAGCCACTGTGTCGGCTTAACCATTGAAATATAACTTTGGTTCCAAGTCCCATGCTATCGTTGCTATCCTTGTGTTTCAGTTAGAGGGCGAGATCCAAATTTCAATGGCACCATCTTTCAGATGAGTATTAAAGCCGTTGGTCCTGTGGCCAAATGTTGCATATAAGGAATGCAGTACGCTGTTTGGAAAAGAGTAGGGGATTGTCTCTTAGTGTACCTCCCAATTCACAACCAGCAGGACCCCACAGGAAAAATAGTCTTGGAAATTTGTGGTTTATCCTCTGTGTATATGATACCAAAGAAATATATATACATATTTACCATACACACTAGGCCAGGGTTGGAAAAAACTGCGGTCAGAGAAATTCCGTGTGACTGGCATTTTCAGTTAAAAAAAGATTATTTTTGCTTTACAACTTAACTACCGTTGAGTTATATTGTACCAGAGGCATTATACATGTCTGCATATCACCAAGAAATTAAAGAAAAAAGTTTCCTGCTCCAACCCTCCACTTTTGGTTCTTTGTATCTGAGACGTAAAAATTGAAGAAATAAGTGGGTCCCAAGAGGGATTTTGGCTCTTATAACCTGACTGGGACAGCAGCCCTATGTTTCCCAATTGTAAAAATTAAGACAACATTTCAAACAGTTTCTCCCTTGATTACGTAGTATCATGCAACCAAACTGATTTTGATACTGACACAGATTTGTTTGATTGATTTGTAATCCTCATTCTAATTGAAAATTTATACTGGGGAACCCGTGGCAGCTGAAATTAACCAACCAACTTAACTACAACATGTAAAAGACGTATATACAGATACAAACATTGTCCTTAACCTGCCTAACTCGTATTGTGAGGGTTTAAGGAGGCAAGCTCAGACTCCAATTAAAACCCAATGGCAACTGGGTTTCAGCCGGGGCCTACTGTATAGCACAAAAGCAAGAACAGTACCTCCCAGCTCAGTTCAAACAAACAAAAGCAAAAGCAAAATGTTGTTTATAATGCTAGGAAATTAACACATGTGACACTGCACAGCATGTGTTTTGCAACCAGGTGACCAGATTAAATTATTAATACAAATCAGTTAAAAAATGATACGTAAATATTATAATTGTTTCATCCTACTGTAGATAGAATAAGACAAGCTTTAATAGTACAATTTTGATTAATGATATTATGAAAAATTATTATTATAAGATACCTTAATATTAAGAGATGAAAATTAAGAATGAGATTGGGATTGTCATGTTAAATTTAAATTATAGATTAATCCAGTACTGTAATAATTATCAAGTTTTGAATGGGGATTAAGTGAAATTTGACAATCTTTGAAGTTAAGGTGAATTTGATATTTGATAACTTTTTCATGGTCTTTTTTTATTCCTCATTACATATCTAACCGCTCTGAACCAGTTTTAATTTTTTTCAAAACCTTCAAAGAACATGCTGACACATTCTATTCTATTGATTTACTGTATGTTATTATGAAACTATAATTCAGACCAATGATGACATAATCGATGAATTAGTACCAACACGTTCACATTGAATGTCAGCTAACATCTGATGTGTACTATAAAGCTTTTAATTAAAATTTAACCTTCCTCTACACTTTTTGCTGCGAAGCAGCCAATTCATATTCTTGACAGCAATTTGACCTCTGAAAGGTCATTGTTTGTCAAAAAACAAGGGCCTATAAGACAACTGAAAAGCGGAGTTTCCTTCTTTCGTTCTGCCGGGTAAAATCAATTACTTTAGGCGATGTTTGTAGACCAAACTACACGTACCAACGTCTGCATGTGGCGACACTCGAGTATTACTATTCAGCGTTTTTACTATATTTCTAGGTTTCCTATTTCTATGTTTAATCGGCTCATGTCTCAGCCACAATATTTAGCTCGTCAGTGTTCTAATATAGACAATGGGTCGTGTCTCATATTATTTGTTATATTTTTATTATTCATTATTTTCACTTGACTCACATAAATAATTTTGTTCGAAGACCATTTATATGCAGTTTGCAATTTCTAGTATTATTTAGTAAACTACTACTGTCCTTTTAAAATGAGGGAAAGTATCTTTTAATACTAAAAGCCAATCCCTATCCAGATAACTGAATGGTGTCCCCTTTATTCTACTGTATGAAAATTAGTACAGATTTGTGGCACACTACTTAAGCTAGTTTGTTCTCAACTGAAATAAAATTGTTTTGAGAATAATGTAATGTAATGTGGTTCGATTTATATAGCGCGTAGACTAGCTGACACAGTAACTTTCTTCTCCCCTAAGGGTTTCTTCATGCCTGAGATACCTAGTAAACCGATGCCAGCTATCTTTCGTCTGTCTAAAACAGGGGCTTTATGAATCAGTATACTGGGGTAACCCCCCTACTCATCTCGAAAGATGTACTGGGTCCTTTATAGTGCACATAAGCCATTCTGTGCACTGGGCCTACACTTTATATTCCTTATCCCAGAATTCTTGTTCCACCACCAGAACCATAGGTGAGTGCGCTACTCGACCATCCAACTCACCATAACATGATTTGATTTTGATAGTAAAATATGGACAAGCTTTACCTTAAAAATAATAAATACAGATTTGGTCATTTAAGGGATAGACTAAAAAAAATCTGTTTTCACTATAATTTATTAACGTTCTTATTCTCACCTTAAATTCATTGCCAGTCAATGGAATTGTCGTATGCAAAGAATAGGAACAGTAAATATTTTATGCATCCTGTTATAGAATAGTAATGAAAGTACCTTCTCGTTCAAAATAATAAATACAGATTTGGTCCTTTAAGTGATAGACTAAAAATTATCAAATATATTCAAAATAAAAAGGCTAAATAAGAAACAAATTATTTTACTTGTCTCCATCTGCTTTCGTTTTTGCTTAATTTTAAACAAAGTATTTTGACCTGTTAATATCTACTAGCCATAAAATTAATTTCAGGTGAAAATGAATATTTTTTATATTTATCATGCTCTCTGTTCCCATTAGCCATAAATCTTTTTCTCTTGCCGATTCTACAATTTGGAATTCACTCCTTGTACACATTAAAAACTGTTTTTCTGTTGCTTCATTAAAAAAATTACTTAAAACTCACCTTTCCCATCATTAACATTCACAGCGCCTTTGATAATACACCTCTGTCATTCAATTGACGCTTTATGTCAGAATCCCAAATATGAATAAATTTTAATTTGGGCATTACGATTTCTTATATTATTAGTATACTTTTACTATGAATAAATTAAGATAGTTGCATTTATTGCTCAATTACTGTACACAGTAAACAGACTGCACCTAATAATAAAGTGAAAGATTGTGTAATAAATAATTGAAGTCAGTTATAAAAAGTGCTACCCACAGGATGGTGGGGGAACAACATTTTTAGGATAGAAGCGAGTAGCACTAATATCAATATATGCATTGAAATTTTTGAAATCTAGTGGCAAAACCGGGTGGGGGGGGGGAGGGTGGCCGCACATGCCCCTTGTGCCCTACTGGATCTGTCTTTTTTATTTCATACTGTAAAGAAAACTCATCTTCTAAGAATATTCCATCTTAATTCTTCCATCTGTCATTTAAATGGTGACATTAAACCAATTTCAATAACAATACATTATTATAGAGACAAAGACCTTTAAACTCATTAAATATCAGGCACTCTTGATTGGCTAAGAAACATAATACATGCTTTCTACAAACCATTAGAGATGGTAATTTCTGTATGTGAACAGATAACTTGATTTATATTTAGCATCTTAAAGAAAATATTATAATTAAGCTTAGAGTTTGTAAGAGCTGCAGTGTTCTACCTTAGAGTTATCCTGTAAACCTACAGATCTTGAGTATAAGAATTGTGCATACTGAATACAGTAGAAGGCACTGAGTATATTTTAGCTGAGTTTAAAGAAATTCAAATTTGGCAGAGATTGGTCAGGGGGACAAAATCAACAAGAAGGATAATCATTTTGCCATCAAGTTTTACTTATAATATAATGTTAAAATAAAGATTTATCTAAAATTGTCATCAATTGTTTTCTGCTATTTATCAAGAACGAGCCTTTGCTGGATGGAATGTATTTATCATCGTAGCAATTAGCGCAAGAATTGAATAGTGAGAGAGCAACTCTGATTGTGACAACACATTTTCTCATCCTTTTTGGAGGAACAACCACCTGTTGTTGTTCTCTACCATCAGTTATTCTTTATACATGAACCTCTCCATGAAATGTGCTTATTATGGATCAACAGATTTTCCTGTTATACATCGGTGTCAATCAAAAGTATGCTGCCGATAAAAATTAATACACCTTGAAAACTAATAATCAGCCGCAGAAACCCAAGTCTATTTGGTGTTGAATTCACACCTTCACATCCTCTTCAAACAAAGTAGTTAGCTGTTGTTTTATCTGGTCCTGGACATCGACAAGAATATTGAATATCGTGTGACCAGAGGCTTGAAATTGATAGTATTCTGACCATTCATTACAGTGTTAAGACAAAACCATAGAAATATTTTATTGTGTAAATTTTGAGTCTGAAATTTGTTATCATATTTATCTTAAATTTCTTATGAATCTTCTTTATTCTTTGTTTCTATTTGCATGAAATTCCTACTAAGAGTACTTCACAATTATATGCATTTTTAACAAAGACTTATTCATTCTTGAGATTATATAAATTCTTGCTATTGATAAAAATAATTGATAAAATCTACTGGAAAGATAACATTTTCATCAAACTGTGGTTGCCGCTGACATTAAAGGTTACGACCTGCTTGCCGAGGACATGCAAGGATAATGCACGATGACGAATAATCAATAGAATTCAGCTGTATCGTCAGAATTGCTAATTATCTTTGTGTAGGTTTCTCAACTCATTTCAAGCTAGCCTGACAATAGGCTAAGCAGGCCTTTGAGTTTTACAACACCAGTTGTGGATACAATTGTTCTATGCTTACCTGACTGGGCCTAAATTGCAAACGATACCCCCACCGGCTTGAGTTCAAGGCAAAGGTTACACATGTGAAACTGGATGTCCGAGTCTTCTTCTATTGCTGTTTTTTTTCATCGACATCATGTTCATTTCAGGACAAAGTGGCACATCTATACAGTCTATGAAATTGTCTTCATTTTTAATTCTAATACTGCTACGGATTTGTAATTGAGTTTAAAGTCTGTCTTGTCTGAATCGCGGTCAACGCTCTCATCCACCTTGAATCTTGATATTGGATATTGATGTTTGCTTTCCCAACGTGTGAACTCCCATCTTTCCGTCGAAACATTACTTGTTTGCCAAGCGCACTCTCGAAATATAATCAGTGAAGTAGCAGAAATATTTTTATCGCTGAGATCAGTATTTTTATTTTTATTGTATGGAGAAAATGTTACAGCAGATTGTCATTCTGTCTTCTGAGTTCTAAACTTAGGCAGCACAGTTTTCATTACTACCAAGTTGGCCACATCCGAACAGAAATATGTTTATCATATTTAGCTCTCAAGATAAACATAATTGTGAAATTGTCTGAGCCTGGATTTTCTACAAACAGATGGGCAGCTGATTATACCGGGAAAGCATTATAAGAGGAATATTCGTTTTGTATAAATGATGTTAAGCTGAATTTCTATGAGTAATTGAAAGGATTTTACAGATCGTATTGCCTATGCGCTTGCCGTTGAACTCTTAGGGTAATTATTATTACGAGAATTTATGCATTAGACAGTCTCCAGGGTCTAACGTGTAATTAAAAGCAGAAATCATACAATGGAGAGGCGGAACAGGGCGTCATTCCAGAGAGATGTATCTACCGTGTTAGATTTGTTGTCTGACGGGAACCCCATGCCTTTAAAAAATGGATGTCTAGACCTACAAGATGATTTGTACGATTTTACGGAGGACATGGAGTGTGATGATGGGATAGGTAAGGTACAAATGGAGGCAGCCATGTTGGATTTTTCAATGAGTCATCAGAACCACTGATGAGTTGCCTTGTAAATTCTATTTCTTATGATTTTCTCTGCATGTAATTAACATAATGTAAGAAAATGCATAATGGCATTTTGCTCTATAAACTCCCAACATTTCCTTTGTTGTACTGTACATGATACAGTAATTATTTTGAAAATGAATGCCTGTGATTGTCATTATTTACTTAAAATGTTTTTTGTTATCATATTAATAGTAGATTAGGATTTTTTTTTTAAATTTCAGTGTTAGTTTCTTGGATTATTTTGAGTGCGGTTTTATTTTTTTAATATTTTTTATATGTAAAAAAATTGTAAATACAGTACATATTTACCTTTATTTAATAGTCCCAAGTAATAATCTGTTAAAAAGGACCTTTGCAAAGGGTGTACATGGATACAGCTCAACTGCAGTGCAATTAGAACTCAAGCCCATTAAAATTATGTTAAAACTAAGGTATAGTATAAGTCCTAAGGGGCTGATATCAGAACTTACCTGAGACAGCTCAGCATCTCATCCTGAGGGACAGCATGAGAAATTTCCTGGTAGTAACAATCTGCTGTGTAACTACCTGATATAGACAGCTTATGAAATATATGATACAGATATGCTGTATTGTATATGAATATCCACACAGACAGTGTCTTTGTTTTCCTATTATATTGTATAATTTGACTTTTAAATGTCATTTTGATGTATGGGTTGTTCACAAGTATTATTTCATGTGATGTGGGTGTGTGATAACATTGGTAAACTCTAAATAATAAGTGTGGATATAAGGATGTGCAGGGGGTAAATAAAGCCTAGGTGGGATGTGGGCCATCAAGTTAGCTTTAGACTGGGTGGAAAGCTAAAAGACTGAGTGGGCCCTGCTCACCACAACTACCTGGGCCCCCCCTCTCCCACCACAACTAACTCATTGTAATATGTACTATCTGAGGGAATGATCCATTTTCTCATGATTACACTTCTTCTCTCACTTTACTGTCTTTATATAGGGGCTGATATTAAGTTATTGGTATTATCGTACAGTGCCTTTCAGAAGAGACATTAGGTAGTTTGTCCTCTTCATTGGCTCTTATGCATGTTAAACAACAACACTTACCAGAAACCAAAGAGGGTTTCTTGCACTTGCTTAAAAAATGTTATTTTACTTTCAACTACTGGTACTGTATGATTAATAATAATGTGAGTTTGATATCACAACAATTTTTTTTCTGTGGAGCCTGGCTTGGCAATATCTACAGTACCTTTAGTATCTTTCACTTTTTTTTTGGCTTTTTATAATAAAGTTTGTACAGTTTTACTATATACAAATAAACAACATACCTTAGGGAACAGCTAGAAAATAGTGTAAACACTAATTGTTGTGACCAGCCTTCATACAAAACATTATCATAGACGTCATGGCATCTTTTTATGTTAATACTTTGATTTATTAGATAAAAACCAAAATTATGAATTGATGAGTTGTGTTTTAGTTTTATTAAGTGTATTCAGAGAGTTCTAAACCACAATTTACCAGTATATATTTCAATAGGAAAACCTTCATTAGAATTAAAACCACAGATCATAAGTAGTACAGTTGGATCAACTTCAACAAAAGTTTGTAGATTCAGGTAGTGTACTGGCTGTCCTTGCTGTCTTGTTACTTTTTGTCTGTTGCCGAATTAGCATAAATTTGTTTCACCTTTGTTGACTTACCTCAACGGAAGTGTCTCGAAACAAAGTATTTTGTCGACGCTTTTTGTTCTACGTAAACCCACCATCTCCTGACATCACCTTGGGTTGTGATTTCCTTCGCGATTTTTACTAATTTCCTATGACTGTTTCATGGCTGTGTAATATCTGAATTATTTACACTGTGGCAATCAGATGCTTAGGACTGATAGGCTGTACATACTGTTGTCGTGCAAAAAAACATGTTTTTAAAGAAGAAATCTAAATTTAATTGGTGGGGTGCAACAGGTGAGTGAATCATTAAAAAAAATACTGTTTTTGCTGCGGTAATAAATTTATAGAACAACATAATTATTTTTAATTATTTACATTGATATTATCATTCAATTTCAGAATTAGATCAAAATATTTCCTTTGCCACTTCGTTGGCATAGTAATAAATGTGTAGACCCATCCAAGTTGGCTGGGAATCAATTTGAGGTTGTTTGTGGTATATACTGTATGTGGTATTCAAATTTAAAAAAAAACTTTTATTGTCCAAATCATATAAAAATAATTGGAAAAAAAATAATAAAAAATATAATTGGAAATTTGCCATGTGATACACTACGTAAAATTATCAGGTTTTTTTTTATCATAAAAAGTCAAACACACAAAAAATAAAAAAACCTTCCTTTAAAATACATTGTGTAAAAATAGATTATATGTATATCACCTGAGTTAAAAAGTTTTAATTTAATACACCATCAAAAGGAAAAACAATTAATATAGAACAATTTGTAATGGTTCCTTTCAGCTCCATGATTTATTTTTTAAAAAAACAACTGAACTTGGGACAAACAGCTTATTGTATCTAGTTGTTCTTCAGTAAATACTTTGTAAACAGCATCATTAGAATCAGTAATAAAACTAAGTTGTTTTGATGGCTTATTTAATTTTTTTTAATGAAGAATTTAATTATTAATATGGTTATTTTACAATTTTCCAGGTCTTACTACAGAAATTTGAAAATAGTTTATTTATACTAATACAGTAGTGTTTCTGGTATAAGCCCATTTCCCCCTCCCCATCCTCATGAAACTGGGCATTTTTTGGGTGGGCTTATATACCAGAGGAATCCCCCTTTTCAATCAATTCATGGTTTTTTTTGTTTTTGTCTTTTTTTTTTTTTTTGCCACTGTATACATAATTCAAATGAATATTTAAAGTTTTTATTAGAATATTTATTGGTCAGACACTGGGCTTTTGCCCGAGGAAAGGCAGGTACATAAAATTGGGCATAAAGTAGGGATGGGCAGTTTAGTGGAAAAATATTCTATCAAGCAGTACAGTACACTCCATTTTTATCGCATGCAACGATGATCTTCACACACACAACATTCACGGTATGTCATGTTGAATAAATAGAATGTTGGATGAATAGTCCTGTTTAAATATTGTCTTTCTGCGTAAAAACAGAAAATGATTCCTAGACTTTTATTAATTGGAAAACACTTTGCCACTTTACAGTACTGTTACCTTTTTGTTCCTCGTCACAATTAATTATGTTAATTTTTGTATCTGGAACAGGGGTAACTCTATATCGTCATGCTGCTTAATCATCATATGCCTTTGTACAGACTCAAGGTTCCCTTCTGTTCAAATCGAGCAGTGTTTACCAACAAAGTATTGATCAATAAATAGCAACATCTTTACAGGTCATCAGCCAGGTTTTTGGAATTTCTTAATTTATTAACTTCCAAAACAAAGTCCCGTGAGTAATGCAATACATCTATCCGGATTATATGTTGTATCCTGTTAAAAGTATGTGCAGACGTAGTTTTAGTCTTGTGACTCAATTTAATGGTTATGAAATCCGCTATTGAGTCGCATTGTTATACTGTTTGTGTTGTTTTTTTATCTAATTTAAAAATACCTGAAACAGTTGTATTCCTTTGAACAAGGGTATGACTTTTACAAAAATTCCCAGAGAAAAAAAATAACCATCAAAATATTGGCAGTGCTAAAAAATTGGACGCAAGCGAAGACCATGGCAAGGGATTGAAACCCTGAAATTCAAGGTTGAAAAACCGCTTCCACAAATTGCAGTAGCTTCTACCGTAGAATAAGGCCTCAGATCCACTGTTTTTGCACTGCAAAGACGGTGCAGTGGCACATTCAAGGGGTGGCTGAAGGGGCACCTGCCTCCTCGATAGTAGCAAAAAGAATAATTTGTAATTGTTAGTATATTTGGGGAAAACCTATTTCAAAACCCTTTGCCCATAGGTAATTGATTGTTGCTTCATGTTTAATTTTCAGCAAAAAAACATCCTGGATATATCCTTTTGAGGTTTTTAATTCTTACAGTGATATTCTATTAACATTTATTGATTTCTTGACAAATTTCTTTTTATGATTCACACTATTTTAATTAATATCATTTTATTTTTTCCCATTTTCAATTGTTGAAACTA